GGTGCTCAATAAATATTATTTTTTATCTGTGTACAGTGAGAAGCCTGGGGAGCTATAAGAGATTATCTGATCCATTTCCAAAGAGCCCTGAGCCTCTGATTTCAATTCTCGCAAATTCCCTGGGGAGGCTATGGAATTCCTCACTGGGGACTTCAGAACACGTTCTTAAAAGAGCCACTTGGAGGGAGTGGTTTAGGCAATTTCTAAATGGATAGGGAATTGAGGTAGAGAGGTTAGGCCAAAGGGCCCTGAGGTCCTCCTCAGTTCTAATGGCCATGTCATCCCCTCAGAAGCTGAAGTTTCCACTCTGTTCCCCAAGGAACAGAGATGAACCAATGAACCCTCAGACATTGCTGTCCCACCAAGCAGAGGACAGCCCAGTGATTTCCAGGAGAAGCCTTCCAGGAGAACCCGGTTAAATTGTAAGCCATTTATTTCATGAGGAAATATACCACGCAGAGCCCTCTCCAAACATGCATGCAGAAATCAGGACAAAATGCTGAGAAGATTCTCTGTTCAGAATTTGCTTTAAAAGAGCCCAGGCAGCACTCATTTATTTTTGAGAAAATATATGATTAACCAGATTTAACTTTGAATTCAGATATTGTACATTAGACCAGCTCCTCAAAGTTTGAGAGCATTTAATATTATATATCGCTGCCATTTGGACTAAATTGTTTTTTTAATGTACACAATATTACAAATTTAATTTGAGCTGTTTGAATCAGTCTGTAAAAAAGATTTGATTATACCTGAGTGTTCTGGCCCCAGCTTTTCCGTATCTCAGTAATCTTGGCGGTAATTGGCTGATTAGGCGTCTCACACTCCATCTCTGCCTCAGTTTCCATGGTAATGTTACAGGAGCTATTATAGATGAGAACTTCATCTCTTTCCACTTTAGGGCTGAAACGAGAGGGGAGGTTAAATGGGGTGTCATCAATCTTAATGAAATGCAATTATTTTTACTCTTATTAATCATTGCAAGCCATTAGCTTGTGGCAACTACAGGCCACCATTTGTCAAATTTTGCAAATTTCTGTAATTTTGTTTCCATTCTTTTATTGTTTATTTGTTTTCCCTCTATCTGCACACCCTGCAATGAAAATGCACATGGTAAATATCTTTCACTGAGGCCTTTCTCTTTTCCAAATCTATCAAGAACATTAGCAAAGCTTCCCCAAGCCCAACTTAACAAGCAACGCACAGGCAGTAGTTCCAAAAATGGAAGCAAATGTTGGGGAGAGTTTGGGGTTGTATTTTTTTTTTCCTTTTTCCCTTCCTTCTTTCTGCTCTTACTCGCACTTAGTGTTGGAGGGGGTGAATTGCCTGAATTCCCCCAGGGCAGATGGAGAAATTGGAAAACCCACACAACTGGCTAACTGGTCCCTAATTCCAACTGTGAAAAAATGAGCTCATTTAGGCTTTCAATTCCCTCTCCCCAGCTGATGGCAATGAGGCTCTGTTGCTAGCAGTGGAACATTAACTTAGTAAATTAATTAAACTTACTTAACAGCCCAGACTAAGGAGATTCGATATATGTGCCAGTTATACTAGCAGCCACTTGCTTTAAAAAGTCCTTTTGCTTTAAAGAGAGAAGCCAGACTGGATTTAAAATGAAAACCAGCAGTGTAGCATTACAGAAAGTCTAAAAATATGCCGTCTAGAGGAGGTGAGAACATGGATATTGAAGGGTATTGTCCCCAACAGGTGTGACATTTATTCAAGAATAATCCTGGCTGTAGGCATTGTTGCAACTAACTCAAAGATTATTAGTTAATAATAATGCATAATGTCTTATACTTTTCAACAATTCATATGCATGATCTCATTTCAGCCTGTGAATAGGTAGAGGAATATAAAAAACAAAATGTAACCTAAGGAGATCAGGAGATTTGCACAAAGTCAAACACAAAACTCCGGCAGCTCTGAAATCAGAACCCAGGTGTCCTCCTTCCTAGAGCAGGGCTCTCAAGTTTTGAGATGCTGGTCGAAGTCAGCCAGAAAGACGATAGATCCCATGGGAAGTTCAGGAAGGGTGGGAGAAAGGGCAAAAGGTCACCCCTGGAGAAACTATAAATCATGTCAAACCAGAGCATCTTTTTCCAAGTCAATGTCATGATGGATTCTCCCACAATTTTCTAGAAATAATGAGCAGGATAAATATCACATCTCACCACTTAATCTTCTCTTCCTCACGCAAAAATATTGCCCACTCTGGATTCACCTAAGTCCTAAGACATGACTCCCAAGCCTACTGTCCTCCAGACCTCCTCTAGATTGTCAATATGTTAACATCACATTACCCAGAACTGAAGGCAATAGTCTGGGCTGATGACCAGGGGGCTCTGGTCTCCCACTCCTATGGCACCTACATAACTGTGTTCATTTGACAGCCCCCATGTACGTTAAGATGCTGGTCAACTCAAAGGCTCAGAGCTGCAACTGCCTGACAATTTCCCCATGCTGGGTTTGTTCGATTCATTTTCTGAGAAATGTATGCATGTAAAGGTTGAGCTTGAAAGCGGATCACCGGGATTTGAATCCCAGGCCAGATATTTACCATCCCGTGACACGGAAGACACTTTTCACTAAGCTTTGATTTCCACATTTATGAAACAGAAACAATCAAGTACCTATTTTGTGGAGGTGTAGAGGAAATTGACAGAAGTGAAGCTCACAAATGACTGGCATGAGACCCAGTATACAGTGGGAGTCTGATAAAGGCAGTTCTTGTTAAAGGTTTTGGTGGCAATAGCATTGATAGGTCGATGAAGGGTAAACATGAAAACTTATGTTCACTGTGGTTACATTTTATTTCCCTGATTTAGGCCCATGGCTGAAAACGTTTTGAATCTATAACCTGTAATTTAGCTAAAATCCACTTAGCTAAGCCATCACCCATGGGGTAGACAAAGCCACAGAATAAATACAGCATTTGTTCCCAGGGTGTCAGTCATACACCAAGACTCAGAAAGAAAAAGCAAAGTAATTTAATTTAAAAATTAAAATGTAATGCGATATTTACATAAATATGGAAATATGGTGAAAGAGAACAGAGAATGCAAATTTCACATGGGCTTTGCAAACACCTGATTTCAGAGCAATTTTAGGCTTGTGCCAAGACACTTTGGGTTTTGGACCTAGGGTGTTGTTTTGCTACTAGCGGTGGAGAGGTTGTTAAAACAGTTTACCAAAGTGTCCCTATGTGTGTCATGAGTCACTGATACACTTACCCAAAAGGAAATGAAATTGGTTTACCACACCACCACATTCTTTGAGAATCAGTTTCCGGATAACTGCTTTCCTTTCTAAAGGCTTACAAACTGTCTGATTAATAATTCATTCTAGAATTTTGTCAGGTATAATGTCAAGCTTAGTTGTCCAGATTTCCAGAATTCTTCCTTTTTTTTTTTCTTTTGGCAATTTGTAGAAGATTTGATTTACCTATCATCCCTCTTCTGTTATATGGGCCCTTCTCATGATTTATTGGTAGTGGGGGTCCTTAGTCATATCAGCCAATTTTTTATACCCAATATATGAATGATCTGGGACTTGAACTCAAGGAAAGTAGTATCTGACCTCCTTTATAATTTTTCTCGGCCTTGGGCTTTCACCCTCCTAACAAGTCTTCATATGCCTTTTCTAGATTCTTTCCTGGCAAAGGTATAGTAAAATGGTCTGATTCACTCTGCCCTGTCTACCTTCCTAAACTATCTTCCCCAAGACATTCTTCTCTGAGTAGAGCCAAACCCTTCTGTTAGCTTGGCCTTTTCTTCAAGCTTTAGCTCATATCTTTTTGTATTTGTTCCTGATCACCTTGCTAGAAATTTTTCTCATAAAAAAACCATCACAAAAACTTGCCGAGACCCCAGGATATCAAAAATATATTAACATTTACAAGATTTCAAAGTTTCTAAATAGCCACCTACTATTCCACATTTTCTTCTATAATAATCCTATGAATTAAGAAATACAATTAGGCAGATGTAAATATAAATATAGTAGAATGTGTGTAAATTAACTACCCAAGGGTCTGTAACAAACTGGTCAACATATGGAAGAGGTGAACATAAGGAACTAGGCCTACTGTGCTGACACGTACATGCACTGCATGGCTGGTTTATGAAAATTAGGTCAACTTAAATGGTCAATGTAGGGAGGTGGTCTATTATGGAGGTTGACTGTACATGAATGTATGTGTGAAAATACCAATATATATAGCTGCAGATGAACACAAGCACCCACACAAATATTGATTTGGGGGGAATATAGTAAGAATTTTGGGTCCAAATGGTGGCAAAGAAAGTTCTAGAACCTAAGATTCTGGACCCTCAATCTATTGTTCTCTCAGTTGGTCTCATCAGATTCTAACATAAGCAGGTAACTTTGCAAGTGCCTTTCAAGACAGGGAGTAAAAACACTTAGAAGCCTTCTACATCCCTCACTTAATCTGAAATTACTTCCTGGTTTTATGAAATCTCACTGAACCCACGCAGCTCAGCGATGCTCTCAGGACCAAGCTGACGGCATGGCTTCATGCTAAGTACACTGTGGCTTTGCCCTCCCCCACCCTGCCCCCAGCACCTCACATAAGTTCCAATCCCATCGGTGCTGTGGTTTGTGTGTGTGACTTTAGAAAGTTACTTAATCTTCACTTAGAATAGAATCCAAACCCTTTCCAAGGGCCCTGTATGCCTTACAGACCCCCTGAGCGCCTTGATGGCCTCTTTCCTTCCTTCCCACTCTAATTCCACCCTCCTGGCCTCTGAGATAGCGCTCAGAGCACTACGTGATGGTTCCTTTGCGTTCCCTGCCCCCACTGCCTGATTCTCCCTTCTTACCGCAATGTAAAAGGAAATTCTTCAGAGAAGCCTCCTCTGAGCACATTATCCAAAGTAGCTTCTCATTATTTTTTATCATTTTGTAGCACTTATCACAGCATACAATCATTCTACTACCTGACTTCCTCCTCTACACCTCTTTTTTTTATTTTTTGATACAGAGTTTTACTTTGTCACCCTTGGTAGAGTACTCCCAGCAACCTCAGAGTCTTGGCTTAAGCAATTCTCTTGCCTCAGACTCCCCAGTAGCTGGGACTACAGGTACCCACCACAACACTCAGCTATTTTGTTGTTGTTGTTGTTGTTGTTGTTATAGGAGTCATCATTGTTTTAGCTGGCCCAGGCCAGGTTTGAACCCACCAGGCTCAGTGGATGAGGCCAGCACCTTGCCCACTGAGCTATGAGCACTACCCATCCTCTCTTTCTTAAGGACAGAGACTGTCACGATCTATTTACCATTGAGTCACCAGCACCTGGCATAACACCTAGGGCATAGTAGACATTTGGTAAGTACTGGTTGGATGGAAGGATGGATGGATGGGGGTTATTTTTGCCACAAACACGTGCCTCTGCCATATGACATGAGACCCACAGAGGTAGTGACTGACAGAGAGACAAGATTTAAATCAAGTGGGTTCCCTGAAAAGATTCTGAACATTAGTCTTCTGGGTTCACAGTATAATCTTAAGAGAAAGCAAGTAAGTTAGTTGGCACATTATATTTTATGACCCCGTATAATTCATAATGTGTTTTCTGGTTAACAAATCAGTACATAGTCACTGAAAAAAAGACATAAAAATTAATGAAGAAAATAAATAAGATCAGTAGTCCAGCTGCACAGAGAAAAGCACCATTGACATTCTAAAATACATCCTTCCAATCTTTTCTCTAATCACAATGTCTCTACAAACATACGTACTATTTACAACGGGAGGATCAAGTTGACACACTACTGTGTGACTTGTGTTTCTCACTTTTCAATATATTGCAAGCATTTTACTGTTCTTTAAATATTCTACCTCATGATTTTTAAAGGTTTCTTAGTCTCATATCATTAGTCTCATATCATGTGGATGTATTCTTTATTACTAAAACGTATTTCATTTCAAATATTCTATTGTATTGGAAACCTTAAGAAAATGGTTGCTTGTAAATATTACACATTTCCATCTTCTTTCTTAGAATAAAATCCTAGAAGTGAAAATGTGGGGTCACATAGTATAAAGAATTATAAGGTTATTATTAGTGCATTATTGAATTGTCCTCTAAAGATTGTATCAACTTACCTCCCCACTGGTAAGAGAGAGCAGCAAGAGCTTCCCTCCACCCTCATCAACACTAAACTTGGTTTAAATCACAGGGCATTTATTTTAATTCTTAAGAAAATATACCGATTGCCTGCTACAATCACCAGATAAGAATATAACAACTTTTCATGACCTCTGAGTCTCAGTTGTCTCAGCCCCCTTCCAGAATGAGGAGGGAGGGTGCAGAGAATTCCAACGAATTGTCTGGGGATCCAGAGAAAATCTGTGAATTGAGTGAAGCCAGAAACTGCTGACTCGTATTTCTTGGTGTCCAGTATTAGTAAATTCTGAAATCCAATCTCACCCCATTTCCTATGTGACACAAGCAGGGTTCTTCGGGCCCCGTTAGAAAGCAACCAGCCACGGAGCTTGTTCTTTTCCTCCAGCTAAAGCCATACCTGCGAGGGCAAATTCATTCTAAAACACAGACTGCGTCAGGACACCCAAAAGTCAGACTGCCGTGGAAAGAGCTGGGTATCTCTTTCACTGTGGGCAATTGGTCGTCTTCAGTTTTCTAGTTTAACGGGAAAATAGGCCTTCATTAAGTAACCAGAAGTAGCCGCTCTATCTAGATAGGAAATAACGAAGAACACAGGGCCATGCTCAGCCTGCACAGGAAAGGAACGGCTTGCTGAAATTAAGACCATCCAGAGTTACCAACATGGTCACAATTTTTTTTTTTTTAATTTGTTTAGAAAACGAAGGCTAACCTGGAAAGTTGTGGTATTTATTTGTTGGGGAGTTTTTTAAGTTCAAAAAAATCCTTATAAACTTACGGCTTCTGAATCCTAGATCTATGGTAATTCCGCCTACGTAACCCCCCTCCCCTTTTGAATAAACATTGTACAATCTGCAGGATTTCTCTATGACTCTTTTTCATAATTGTGAATCTGTTTGGAAAGAAAAGAAAAAGGAAATGGGGGGAGCCTTCTGTTTTTCATAATGTCTAATCTTTTTCCCCATTGGCATTCACCAGATGTTGCTTTGGATCGGAAGATAAATATTAAAATCTAAGCAAGAACAAAGCGAGCTGTTTACTGGGCAGATTTTTCAGATGTTCTCTTAAACATTTGAAAAAGGCAGGAGATGCTTTGAAATGCAGGCTGGCTGGGATCCACAACAGACTGGCCCCTCCAAGAGAGCTGCAGCCCTCCCACCCCGCCCAGGGGCCAGGCCCACCTGGCCAACTCATGGCTCCATCAGCCATTGGCCGTGCCCTTGTGGGGAAGGTCAGGGAGGGAGCAGACAAGATTACCTGATGAAGAGGCCTGAGAATGAAAATGGAAATGCTGACTCTGTCCAGTGATCTGGCGCAAAGAGGCACTGAGCACTTTCTTCGCAAATGTAGAGGTAAGGCCATGACTCAGGCAGTGTCTCTGTCCCCACAGCAACAGTCAAATCACACTGCACATAGGTGCAACTGGTGCCCTCACAGTTGTCTTCCTCATGCTTCAGGCCACACAGGAAAGCCATCAACACTGTAGGAAACAGCCACCATTAGGGAAGAACCACAGACAGAAATGAAGGCCTCAAGTCATTTCATAGATGAAGCTCATGGGTCCTCCCTTGACCAACAAGAAAATAAAGTTGTCAGTTGACTCTTTCTAATGTGTTAGGTATGTACAGTATACACAGAAGAACGTAAGTAACATTTTTATAAATCAGCATCATAAATAGCTCATGTGAATCCACCAGCCAACATAAGATCTAAAAAAGGCATAATACGTTTCCTCTGAATTCTTGGAAATAACCACTTAGCAATTTTTAAATAATTTTACCACATGGGTTTGTATTCCTAAACAAGAGACTACTGAGTTTTATTTGTTTTTGAGCTTTATAAAATATTGTATATAACAAAATATTTTTCAATCTCCTTTTTTCATTCAACATAGTAATATTTCTAAGATTTATCCAAATAATTACATATAACCATTGTTGATACATTTCACGGCTGTTCAATCTGTATCACACAAACGTATTGTATAGGTAACCTCTGAGTTACAAGCAGGATACTGCTGTATGACTTGTACTTACAAACGCGGGCTATTAGAGTAAATGTACCCATCCTGATTTACATACTAATTCAACTTAAGAACAAACCTGCACAACCTATCTTGTTTATAACCCAGGGTCTGCCTGTACTATGATATATTTATCTAGACTCTTACTGCTGGACTTTGGGGTATTTTACAGTTTTTTCTACTACAAACATGTACAAAATTTTCTCTAGGGTGGACGCCTATAAGGATAACTGCTTATTCAAAGAGTAAGGGGCCAGTTCAGCTTCACAAGATAGTGCCATATTGTTTTGAAAAGCGGTTGCATTATTTTTACAATCCTATCTGCTACATTTGTGAGTTTCCATTACTCGACATAATTGCCAGTACCTGAAATTATCTGACTCTTAATTCTTGTCAATCTAGTGTATATAAAATGGTATCTCACTGTGGTCTTCATTTGCACAATACTTTGAAGTTGAAATGAGATACATGCACATGAGAGGGCTTGGAGTTATGCAATCACACCCAAATATTATTATTATTGCTATTATGTTCTAAAGCACCTGGCACCTAGGAGGTTCTCTGTGAATGTATTTTGAATGAATTATAGCAATACAAATAACTGACAGTAGAACTCTTGTATGGACAGACAAAACCTAAGAAGTTTCCAGTTAGTAAGTCTTCAGGCAAATAAAAACAGGCTCAGCACCCATCAAATAATGAACTCATTACAGGTGATTAAGTGGATGCAAATTGACAAGGTAGATTATGAAAATCACCCAGGGCTGAGCATCAAAATTCATGGGTTTTACTCAAAGGTCTGCCACCAAATAGCTATGTGACCTTAATCACTTCAGCTTTTCATGCCTCATGGAAAAGTTAAAGTTTCCATGAAAAAGTCAGGAGGTATAATTCAAGGTACAAATGTAAGAAAAACCAAAGATCGAAGATCTTGCTCATTTTAAACAGATACAGAGTGTGAGTTTCCTCTAACAACAGGGTGTTTTAGCAACCATTATATGAAAAGGTAAAATTCTTCTTTTGTTAGAAGTATAATCTGTGAGAAAGGTAGAGATAGTTGACCCCAAAAGTAGCAAGAGAATTTTTTTAGCGCTCTAACTCCCCTGTGCCACTCATGAATAGAAACCACAGTCATACTGTGACACACGCACAAGTAAAACAAGACTTAGGGGCGGCACCTGTGGCTCAAAGGAGTAGGGCGCCAGCCCCATATGCCAGAGGTGACAGGTTCAAACCCAGCCCCAACCAAAAACTACAAAAAAAAAAAAAAAGCAGGACTTAGGGAAGTCTGAGTTCTGGGATGACATCTACAACCCAGAACGTGAAACATCACCCTATCGTACACAGTCAAACTGAAGACAAAAACTCAAAGCAAGGATTAGAACTCAAAGCAAACTTGGTAAGTTAGAGAAGTTAACAGAAATAAACAAAAGAACAAATGAAAAGAATAAAGTAGTAAACTCCAAAAGGAAAAAAGAAGTTGTGTAAATATAAGACATGCCCAGCTGTGCAAAGCCACATTAGAAAGAAATACCCACATGCACACACACACACACACACACACACTTTGGAATAACAGTAGGTAACAGAAAGATTATAAATCAGCAAGACAGCAATGTCATTTTTTGTGTGTGTGTGTGACAGAGTCTCACTCTGTTGCCTCAGCTAGGGTGTAGTTGTGTAATCAGAACTCACTGCAACTTCCAACTCCTGGACTCAGGTGAGCCTCCTGCCTCAGCTTCCTTAGTAGCTGGCACCAGCTACTTTCTTTTTTGTTGTTGTTGTTTTGTTTGTTTGTTTGTTTTTTAGAGATAGGGGTCACTATGCTGCCCAGGCTAGTCTAGGATTCCTGGCTTCAAGTGACACTCCTACCTTAGCCTCCCAAAGTACCAGGATTACAGGCATGAGCCACTGTACAAGGCCAGGAGTGTAATCAGAGTAATTTTAAAAACAAATATGCCACCAGATTACACAACCATCTTATGATGCTACTCAATATGTCCAGAACTTGCTTACACAGAGGAGCTACCTAATTTAGGGCTTCAAATTATGAAATGCAGAATTTCAGACAGGGCTCAGAAAAGAGATACCAAAACATTTACTTGAGAAGTTTCTGATTTGGTTTTGGTGGCGCCCAAGAATGCATTTTCTAAGAAGCTCCCAGATGCTCCTGCTGCTGTTGTTGGGGCTCCAGGGAACACATTTTGAGAAATGCTGCTTTAGAGGGACTGAGATTATTTGGCTTTCCAAAAAACCACCATCTGATTAAGGTTCAAAAACGTGCGGTGATGGAGCATCAGTTAGACAGAAAGGTGGGTTTCTCAGAATAATACCGTGGAACACTTGTGAGGGTTGCTGCTAAGAAGTCCTCTGTTGAAAAATAGCTTAAAATATTAACTAACAGATTCTTAACTAAGTTGGTTATTTGCAATCCTGTCTGAAAGCAGAGGAAATATTGGTAGTTTCTAATAATTTCTGAGATGCATCTTTTTTAACCATTTGATGACCCTTATAGACTTACTTCCTAGGGAAAAACAGTATATAATCATATATTCAAAATGCGTCAAGCAGGTAAATAGAATCACTGAACCTCCTAGATCTTAAGGGAGGTAAGGGGGTAAACAGAATTACTGAACCTTTTGGATCTTAAGGAAGGAATCTCTGAATTAACTTCCTTTCTATCTTTAGACATTGTGATTAAAAATCTTTTCAAAACTGTTTTTATGAAAAAAATCATGCATTTCTCTAGAAAAAAAGAAAGTGTTGTTTGCACAATCATTGATTATTTGGTGACACCTAGTGACGATATAGAGAATTACAGCTCTCAACTTATTTTCTTCTTTTAAAAATCAAGGAATTTTGAGCTCTTTTCTAAAACTTAATCAAATCTTTCTAATAATTTCTATTATTCCTCCCCTAGGACTCAGCAAACTTTAAATAACACAAATTACCTGACCTTAAAACCTCATTGATTTTTATTTCAGACTTTGTCGAAATTAAGTTTTTTTTAAATAATACTAAGGGATTTTAAAAAGTATATTAATTTTTTTAAGAGAAAAAAAAATCCTGATTCCTGCAACTAACACCCAAATGGTTCACCCATCTCCTCTACACCCTCCCCAAAAGTCTAGTATAAAAATTGTATTAATTTAAGCAGCATACATATGAAAGACTGTAAAAACTGTAACAGCATTAAAGATTAGAACCTAGAAATGTGGAATCTTAGTTTCTGTTTTCATTTCCAGTTCTTTCTTCTATTCATCCAAACATCAATGTTTTCCATGCCCTAAGCCAATACTACTCTACACCTGAGAGGTAGAACAGCAGATGAAACAGGCAAAGCCTTAAAGTTAAATCTTCTATTGTATCTCAAATTTCCTATTGTGGAATCAATTGTTTTCATAACATTGTGTTTACACACATGATGATAATAGGAAACTCAATATCTCATATTTTAATCAAGGAATGTTACTCCATCTCATCTGCTTCCTCCTCCTCTTTCTTTCTAAGACGAATCAGTGTAAACCAGTGGTTCTCAACCTTTCTAATGCTGCGACCCTTTAATACAGTTCTTCATGTTGTGGTGACCCCCAACCATAAAAATATTTTTGTTGCTACTTCATAACTGTAATTTTTGCTACTGTTATGAATTGTAATGTAAATTATCTGATATTAGGCGACCCCTGTGAAAGGGCTGTTTGACCCCCAAAGGGGTCGCGACCCACAGGTTGAGAACCACTGGTGTAAACTATCATCGCCTACACTTATCATAGAATTATTGCCCAAGCTCAGATGACGTGAAGCTTTTATCACCTTGTAAATCCTTAGCTCTCATTTAAGTTGTGGACAAATAAATTAAGAATATATCTTAGAGCAGTATCAAGAAAGCAGGTGTGTAAATGGTTCTTAAATGTACAGGTACAAGATCTATGACTATTCAGACAAGAAAATCACCTGGTTAAATCTGAGTTGTCTCAAATGCAGTAAGTTCCTGTGATAATAAGGATAATTTCTTCCCTTTTCATGTTGTGAGGCCCCAAGCTATATAGCTTTCTCTTTATCACAACAAAGAGATGACATCCCACACCACAATGTACACGATGGCCATGCAGCTTAAAGTAATGAGCATATTATATTTAACTGAGTAAGAACTGGATAATTACATGGATGTTGCAGAACAAGAAGGTAATGTGAATGTTGACTCTTTTGCCTGTAAGAATTCAAGACTTGAGCACAATTTTCCCAATTTTTTCATTTGTTCATCTCTTGAGCCAATTTTCAAGAAATGTCCAGCGTGATAATCTCTAAGCTTGTGCCACCAATAAGCAGAAGAATTCAGCAACCTCTCCTCAGAACAAGTCTAAGACTCTATTTCCTCCACAATGTCTACAGCTGTCATTGAAACTAATAGAACTCAGAATTACCTTTTCCATCATCACATGACTGCAATCAAGAACACGACAAATTTTTTGATGCTTGTTTAACATTGGAATATATGACAAAATTTCTTACGAGCTATTATAATAGGTGGCTCCAGATTCTAACTACCATTTTAGATGAGGAATAGAGAAATTCTTTTCCCAGGAACACAGGATAATTATAGCATTAATTACAAATGCTTGTAATAATTCCTATACAAGCATTTGACCTTCTCTCTACAATGACCAGCTCCTTAAGTTGACCTAATCTTTATAGACTGGACATGCACCACCTGTACGTGTCAATACAGTAAGCCTAGTTCCTTATGTTGACCAACTCCTTGTGTTGACCCATTTATCACAGTCCCTTGGGTCGTCAACTTACAGAGGTTCTACTGTACTTTAAAATACATACATGTGCCACCTTTACTCACCATCCAAGGGGAGCACCAAGCAGCTGAAGGCTGACACCGTTGCATTAGCCAAGATTCTGCAGGGAGCACCACACACAGCAGCTGAGAGCTTCCCTGGAGAAAATCCTGTTCCAAATACATGCACAAGACCTCCACTCAGGTAGCCTTTAAAGATAAAATTACAAGTCCATGATCACAGAGGCAAATTTCTTCTTTACTTAACTCAAAATTCAAATCTTTGCTTTCTTGCTGCCTATCCTTTTTATGCCCTCAGAATCCACACAGCTGGCTTCAGGTTCCTGACAGCCTGTTTCTCTTGCACTCTGGCCTTGGGGCTGTCCGTCGCCAATCATACTCAACAGAATGTTATCTTAAAGAGGTCTTTTAAATTTAACCATTTTTATATAGAAAGTTGATGCTTTATATACAGTTTTTAAACATTTTATACAAAAGAGCATAAAATAAAGTGTCCCCCAACTACCCGTCTCACTTCCCAAAGGTATCCAGGCATAGTCTCTGGTGACTCCATCCAGAATTTTCTAGGCATATGATCATTCTATGCATATTATTCTGCAACTTTTTAAACTTAAAAGGATGCATATTTTTCAACTCAGAATTCCATTATCTAATCATACTACAATTTAACAATTTTCCTGTTGATTGATACTTCCATTATTTCTCCTTTCTTTCTATGATTAATAGTGCTGCAATAATTATACATATTTGGGGGACATTTTTAGGAGTAAAACTAGCCTACATTTCTAGTTTACACTGAGATACAGGGTTTCACTCTCTACTGCCTTCATAGTAAATCTAGATGCTACTTAGCCACTTGACAAACTTAAAAATAATGCTTTCTGTTTAGGGCACCCCTGGTCTCCCACTGTAAAAATCATGGGATCTTAGGAAGTAGGAAGCAGAAGGCCTTAGCAAATAGGGAAGCTGAGGCTTAGAAAAGTTCAGCCCAAATTAGCTAAATTAGTGACAGACTGTGGAGGCCAACTTCACTCTAATCAGTGGCTTGGTTAATTCTTCACCAGTCCAAGATACTGTTTCTATAATTTCTTCTATACTCTCTGAATCACAATGAAATAAGTGCAGTAAGGCTTTAAGTAAACTGACACTGAAACTATCATTGGAAGATAAAGCCAGGCAAACTCCATATATCTGAAAGGAGAAAAAAGTTCAGCCAATGCAACTATACAATGCAATTGGCTTATTATTAGTGGAATATGAGTTCACCTGTGAAATATTACAAAATGACAACAATTAATCCTATTTAATAAATAAGAAAGAATCCAAATTGGCATAGAGGACTAAAAATAGAGGAAGGCATTTGTGTTCTTAAATGGTCACTATATAAGCTCTTACAAATGGTATTATTTAATTTAAAACAAAAACCTGGCTAATGTATCAAATTAAAATACAATCAAACACTTAGAGAATATACAAAGCCTCATAAACAGAGCATGACAAAGACAAGACTCAGGAAGAAACCACGACTGTAAGAGGCCAACCAGGCTTCTCATTCCTTCCATCAAGCAGATTGATGTTGATTCCCCCATCCTGGAAGACAAGAGTAGCTGCTAATTCGCTTACATAAAGGAAGCGCACTCTTACATGTACTCATTTGACTTACCAAAGTTCTTGGTCACTGCCGTAATAATAACTCTCGAAGTGAACACCAGGATAGATGAGGCCCACCCTCTGATGTGGTCATAACCTCTGACACGGTACTCCCCAGCAGGAAGGCAAGGGACCGTGCACTGGAGAACAGTGTGATTACCAGAGACACTCACACAGGGTGACATCCCAATAAATATGTCCATATTTGTAGCTCCTGAGATTTGGGCCACTGCAAAGGTTAAGATGTCATCACTCTGAGAAAAAGAGAGCAATTCTGGGGTGAAGTCATGGCTGTAGTCAATGATTCCAATGTGGAATAAAAGTCCATCTACCTCGATTTCCAGGGCAACAGAGCCATTCCCTGCGGGAACCACACACTGGATGAGCTCAGCACTGATGTCCACTGCCAGGCATGCTTGCTGGCCAATGGAGACTGATGTGGTGTTCTTTCCCCTTAGGGCTGTACCCTCTATGGCCAACAGGCTTCCACCATATATGCTGAAATGCTTAGGAAAATAATGAAACACTTGAGGTATAACGTAGAAGCGCCTGGAAATGTTACCAAAACAAGCATACCCATTTCTTGCTTGAAAAACCGATAGGTAGTGGGGTCCTGGAATCAAGTCACTTATCTGGCATGCCACGTAGCTTTCATTAAAGAAAGTCACATTGCAAGGAAGTTGATCATCCACGAACACCATCAGCTCACTGGCCGTGGTGCCTAACCTCTGAGCCCTAATCAGCACAGTTGTCAGAGACCCACTGATGTTTGTGGTCATGGCGTCCACGACAGGAGTTGTCTCCTCCTGCATGAAGAGAGTGCAATTCCCCTGACACTCACTGGTCACGTCATTGACCAAGACTGTGACATCCAGGCTGAAGGAAACTCCAGGCAAGGGGCCACCCACAGGGCTAACCTTGCAGAGAACAGTGTGGTCTCCCACACTCAAAACCACACAGGTGAAAGGACCTGAAAGGTCAACCTGAACTGACCTCCTTTTAGAGTTGAGAGCCAGCCCCCTCACCGTGAGTACCGTCCCCCCACACGCAGAGCCATGGGTTGGAGAGACAGCCATTATCCAAGGTGTCATCACAAACTGCTGGGGCACCGCAGACGTATTAGCCAATCCCATCTGCTTCTGATAAACTTGGAAGGGGTAGATGCCAGCCTCTAAGCCAGGAAGAGGAAAGGAACATCCAAACAGGTTCACGCTGCTCTGGGAAGACTGTGTCTCAAGATCGCAGGTCAAGCTCCCCAGAAGGACGACTGAGTTGGAGAGGTTGCTTCCTCCTACATACAGCCTCAGGCTGCTATTTGTGATTTCTCCTTGCAGGGAAGTGACCACTGGTGTTGCTGCTGCTTCATACATGAAGGTGAAGCCCTTCCCCACCAAGCTCGCTGAAGATCCATGGGTGAAGGACATGTTGCCAACCCAGACTTCTACAGGGGCTGAGACAGCAGAAGCATCTGCATCGGGCATCTGGGGAGCCGGAGGGGTCTTGCAATGGATGCTCACCTCTGTGACATTCACAATGTCACAGGACTGATTGCCCACGAGCACCCAAACAGAAGCTGGGTTCCTGCCAAAGCCTATTCCTGAGATGCTGAGGAAGGTTCCACCTAAAGTGTGAATATAGAAAACAGAATTTAACAGCTAATATCCCTAAGTAGGAACTCACAGCCCCAGGGGGCGTGTGTGTTAGTGAAACCTCAATTATTTTACCCCACTCCCACCAATGTTTAACTTACGATCATTTGGCTAGGGATCAGATGAGGTTAAAATTGTACATAACAGAAAAATAATACAAATTGTTACATAGGAGGATGTTTATAATATTTAACACAAACTTTTCAACTACATTTGTATGACCTAGAAACCACTATCTTGGTCAACTTCTACACTAACAAAACATCAAATTCCATAGTGTTCTTGTCTTCTGCTATTACTATGTGACCTGTTATTTATGTGTTATGTACAGTATACATATATTGTTCTGTATCCATTCAATATACACACTAATGAAAAACCAAATTCAGTAAAGTCTTCTGTCTTCTATATTATTATATATAATATCCCAACATTCTATGTATTACATATCTAATATATCTTAAATATTCTATCATCTATATGTATATATACATGAACCATGTCAAAAGCCATCGAATCATGCTGGTGAATTTGCCTCTCAATTCACATTCTTTGTCTTACTCTATAGTCGAGAGACAATCAAAGATCAAACCCCATCTTCAGGGCAGGAGTTGAAGCAAATGACCCATATCGTAATCAAATCTGTGGTACAGCCAAGCAGCTTACAAAACGATTTCAGTATACGCAAGAAGGATAGCGTGCTACTTTAGACACTATCACAATGATTAGCCACATGCTAATAGACAACTTTCAATTCTTTTTGTAGTTAGGGATTGCTCTACAGGGTGTCCCAAAAAGCTACCAAGTCACCGTACATAGTGAAAATGGGGAGTTACAGTTGAATGTACCTTTATTTACATAATCTCCATTACAAAATTTTATAAAATATTTTTAAAATGTTCTGTATGTGTTGGCCGCCGCTTTGTAAAATTTTGCAATGGAGATTTTGTAAATACGTGTACACTCAGCTACAATTTCCCATCTTCCTATGTATGGCGACTTTGTGGGCAACTTTGCGGGATGCCCTGTTATTTGTCCTGGTGTCACAGCCCCCATATTGGCATTTGCGTTTCTCTTTCTAAGTTCTTCATCTGGTATCCCCAGAGAAAAGAGAGGTCACAACAGGCTCGCCACTCCTCTCCTTGAGTGCGCAGTATCTAAAGGCTAGTGCTGGAAACTCCTCCCTCATATTCCTGATATCCCTTTAGAGTGCTACCCATTAGATGTTTTATCCTCTTGTCATTAGAAAAAGCAAAGCGAGCACATCTCCTTTTCATAAAACTAATTTCCTGGACAAAGGAATCACTGAGTTTTCACACCCTTTAAAATACACCACACAGTTCCTGAAGCCTAAGAAAAGCTTCTGTCCTGCTGCCCCCGTTTCTGGCTTTGCAGACTAACTAATCTGGGAACAAAATCTGAATGAATATCCAGTGAACAGATTTGTTGGATAATTGATAACTGTCACAACAGAGCCACTCACCCAGAAGGGACCCACAGCACGGCTGGATGCTGAAAACTTCTGTGATATACTGGATGTAGAGATCAACCCTATTGAAGATAGGAGACTTGTTATAAAATAACAGTAAGTTAGAAATACAGAAAAGAAAGAGTAAGATAGAAAAGGGGGTGAGGACGAAGAAGAGTCTGTCCGTAGGGTCTCTAAGATTTGTTCAAGTGTTATGACTAGAATTCCTCTGCTGCATAGCTGGACCATCAAACAAACCCAAAAGTAATGGCAAGGGGCCACCTCACCCTTGCGAGCGAATGCTGACTCCGTTGATAGAGACGGATATCCCATGGAGGCCAGACGGCAGCGCCGGCAGCACCACCTCCACGCCCCAAGCCATCTGTGCACGAACCCCAGCTAGGGCACCACCGACGTAGACTTCCACAGCTAAATCCGTACAGTTCACCAGGGACGTCATTCCAATGAGGAGGGTCTCACCTCCTGTGTTAAAAAGAGTCCATTAACCTCTAGGATGTGGGTTTGTGGGCTCAACCACCTATTTCAATTCTAAAAGTGTGTTTGGGATTAAATACATGGTCAGGCCTGTGCATAATACTTAAGAGTTTCAATACCAACCTATTTTTTTTTCATGAAATATCTAGCAACTCCTTTTCATAGAGCTACAGCCTATAATCCATCTCAAGGCACAAAAAGCAAAATTGTCAGGACAATTATACCAGGGGCACTAACTTATTTCTGTGCAAAGGCAAATCAAGAAGTAGTTTAGAGAACTAATGGTCTTCATAACCAGCAGAAAGCATCCATCTCCTTTTTTCTCAACCTCCACGTTAGCACTGTAGAAGTCTAACGCTCCACCTTCAGCATGCACTGACCACATTATAACACCACATGTGCACAAACTCGTCATAGTTCACAGAGCACTTCCATATATGTTATGCCTTTTGATCTTCACACTGTCCCGATGGTACGCATAGTATACAGGCAGCCAGTATGCTGGCATTTTGCATTTTAGGAAACTAAGGCACAGCACCCAAGGCCTCATAGCTAATCAATGAAAAAGACAAGTCCTTGGTCTTTGGTCTTGTATTTTAACACATCTTTAGTTTAATTAGCAACTCTGCTTAAATATTGTGTATACTATTAACACTTTAATTTGATCCCTTTTAATTCAAATATGCATTGAGAACCATGAGAAAAATGCAGCAAGGGACACAAAAATAAGCTAAATATTGATCCTTCTCACAAAGAGTTCTCAAAGATAATGAAATAGGGGACCAAAGAGCTTCAGCAGAAGACACACTATAAGAGAGGTGCAAATTAAGCACTGGGACAGCTCCCATCAGGGCAATGTTAGGAATATTAGGAGAGGGCTCGTGGGCAAGGCAGTACTGAAAAGCAGTTTAAAGGATAAATTCTAAGAGAAAGTGATAGAGAAGTGGAGACATATAATCTAATTCTAAAAATGTCACAGTTCTAGTCAGTCTTTTATAGCACTTTCTTACTTCATCACCCAGAAGCTTAGAGAGAAAAGAAAGAGAATGAGGTGACTTTCCAGAAGACAAGCTACGTATAGATACAGGTGTGAACTCTACATCTATGGGGGTGAGCCAAGTTGGTGGTGCTACGGCCACAGACCAAGAAAGCCAGTCCTCAGGGGTCTCTGCTTAATTCACTGGACAGTGGAGACCTCCAAAGGCTTCAAAGAAAGGAAAGGACATGATTGAAACTATTCTTCCAGCTCATAAGGTAAACTGAAAATGCAGGAGAGGAGACATCCAGTCTGCAAACAACTGGGGTCTTACTGAGGGCCAGAGATCAAGTGTGCAACAGCAATAGTGGAAATAAATGCACCTGCCTTTCCCATGTCTCGATGTGCCCACAGAGACCCAGCTTGGGATAACACCGCCCCAGTCCTTTAGCCTCTAACAGTTGAGAACCACTGCATGTCTGGGATGCCACAGCCAATCAGATGCGGAGGAGAAAGAAGTTGCTTGAAAGAGAGGGATGTGGCATGGTGACCGTGAATCTGCACTCAAACCCGTGGCCTCCATTTAATTACCTCTGTGACTTTGGGTGACCAGCGTGAGCTCTCAAAACCTTGGACATTTTTTCATCAGTAAGATGGTAATAAAGCTTATCCTATGTGGCTTATTGTAGGAAGTTAGATACACGTATCTTGGGAAATCACACAAACAGACCTCGTTTAATTCTGTTCTCTTCCTCGTTCTCTGTCCTCTTTACTTCTTTCTGTCCTCTGTCCAATTGCTACTGGGAACTCTTGATGTTTCACAGTGAGTTCAAGGGACTTCCAGGCTACTCAAAGAAAATGGCAGGACCACAAGGTGGTGGCAGGACCACAAGGTGGCAGCAGCACAAAATGAGCTTTCTTCAAGGGTTTTGTTTTCTTTTTTTTAATTTCAAATTAATGTGAGGGTACAAACAACTAGAGGCCATCCTGGGTTCATTAACATAACACTTGGAATGTGGCAGGATGCTGGCCTTCACTTCCACAAAGCTTACTCCATGTCAGGTCCTGGACCAGGTACTTTCACCCACTTTATCTCCAGTTTTCATGATTACCACCCGGCTATTTTTGTTGCAGTTGCCACAGCTGTTTTAGCTGGCCAGGGCGGGGTTCAAACCACTACCTTCCGTATATGGGGCTGGAGCCCTACCCTCTGAGCCACAGGTGCCACCCTTCAATAATATTTTTCAAACAACTAGCTGAGTTTTAGCTCATCACAGCAGCTGAGCTTTAGCTAAGCACAGGCTACGCACTAATCAGAGGGTGCACAGTAAGGCAAACAGGGAGCTGTAACCAGTCAAACTGTTTCTGGACGTCACTTCCATTTTCTGTCTATGAATAAGGCCCGAGCTCTCTGAAACTCTCCTGGTTCTGAGGGCTGTCTGATTGGTGAATCATTCTTTGTTCAAATAAACTCTGTGAGTTTACTATGCTAGAAGATTTTCCCAGTTGTTTCTGACTGTAGAAAAACTACACTAATGGTCCTGCGTATCAAATTCTGGAGAGAGATGTCCAGACTTAAAAGAGACTTTCCTGATGGGCTACCACACTTTGTGAACTTCATAATATGTTCTTTATTCTGCCTATAGAAAGATTTGAATGCAAGTGGAAATTCTAAAAGAATGCATTGTACTGTAGGTATCATTAACATGAACTTCTTGGGCTTGGTCAATTATCAAGCTAATCCTAGTTGCCTTTGAGGTGCTGATACAATGTATTTATTCTTTTCTGTAGAGGTAATTTCATTAAAATGCAAAATCACTAAAATCTGAATATAACATGAAGCCCCCTCCTCCCTTTATACCTTGATGGGAAGAATCTATACCACCAAGAAACTTTACACACTTTGGTCACCCAAGGCAGCAAATTCTTATTCTGCACTATCTGAGCTGAATGATACTGACAAGCTAAAGGACACTTCACTTTATTTACATACTTTTGAGCTATGGAAAATGAAAATAATATCATAAGCATTGAATTCAGGCTTTTGGGGGATAGGAATATGAAGGTCTTGTAATAATAAACTCTTAAATATGGCTACCAAGACTGTTATCTGGCATTCAGTTAATCAGAAAAGGGTGTTACCTGCTACTTTTTCAAATCTATATGGTATGATATGATAATAAACTGTTATAATTTTATCTTGTCAAATTGTCTGAATCATCAAAGAAAAATTAAATTATTTCATTTAGTTGGCGCTAATGAATTCATTCTTTTTATACATAGTATGTCTCAAGGAAGAAGAATTCATAATCAAAACATCCTATTCTCTAATCATACTATTAATAAAAAACTGCTACAATAGAAACTGCTGCTAAAAACAGCATTTTACAGTTCATTATAAGTGGTTAAGTGCTTGGCATCTGCAAACAGACTGTGTAGGTTCAAATCTCAGCTCTGTTCCTTAGTAAAAGCAACATCTTAGACAAATTACTAATTCTCTCTATTCTTTAGTTTCCTTATGCATAAACTGAAGCTAATAATCCTATAAATTAGTGGCAAGGATTAATTTAAAGCCTATTACATGTCTATGGTATTATTGGCACATACTTGGTGCCCAAGAAATATTTGTTGAATTATTACCTTTGAATTCCTACATCTTTTTCATGATGGAAATAAAGGGCCACAATTTTACAAGAACAAATAGGTATCAGGAGATTGATTCAATGATGGCTAAGATGGAAAGAAAAATCTTGTGTAAAGTACTTTAAAACATAATAAAATTTGTAGAGTATTGATTTCCCTTTTTATAGAATCAATGCTGTAAAAAGATCTTCCAGCAGCATGTATTTTACCTGCTACGTTGCTTCTGTTTCTGCTCAGAGTCACAATCGCTGGATTTAAAGAGGAGACATATGTAAATGCCCTGGGAAGTACTGCAGAATGGTCCCCACTGATGACAGTCACATTCACAATGCGTCCATCTTTCCCCTGAAAAATCGATTTTGAAATGCAAGTCTCAGTTTGATTCTAAAGTAATACTGATTTGAGTGAAGAGAAAAAGTCCTTATAGAATTGGTTTAAAGGATTAATTTCAAGAAAGTTGGTTTTAAAGGATCAAATCTTCCTTTCTCCTCCCACTACTCTCTTGCTCTCACTCTCTCCCCCGCACTCTCTCTTTCCCCCTCTCTCTCTGATACACACACACACACAGAGTGACAAGTACTTAGACTAGGCAAGTGCATTGTTCAATAGATCCAAAAGGACCATGCCATTACTCAGCAAATAATAATGATTTGGAACTAACACATTGTTTCTGCAAGAAATGGCAATTTTAAGTAACTGTCTATACCCAGCTGAACTATCCTGTAAGTATGAGTGTACTTTTAAACATATAATTTCTCTTCCACATACTCCTTCACAGGGTGTTTCTTATGGTTATGATCTCACAAAAATTAAATAATAATTTTAAAAAAGAAGATATGAACTCTAAGAAACCATGGATCTATGCAGGACAGCAATCCAGGGAAATACTAGGATGAAATGTGTAGAATACACCTAGGAAATAACCAACACAGATTGAAGCAGGAGAATAGAGAGCTTCAAAAAAAAATCACTAACTAATATGTTGAAACGTTTTTAAAAAGTGGCAGATTTTTGTTATAAGAAAGGCATGTTTTAAAAAAAAAAAAACTCTAGGGAAGAAAAGAAAGAATTACCAATGAACAGAATATATATTACCTGGTTCTGCCAGCGCCACTTATACAGGTATAGTAACATAAACATGTTTTATTGATTCGACAAAAAAATGGTACCATAACTATATTCAAAAGAATTGAAAGGGGTTGTTTCAGAAAGGAGGATTTGAAGAAAGGGAAGGGGGAGAGCGTGATTTTAACCTTACATCTATCACTCTGATTGAAATAAAAGTTTCCTTTTTTTAATGTTTATCTTCTCTGATTAAAAAACATCCAAACAGTACATATCTTACCCACAAAATGGCAAATGTATATTAAAATGATAATACCCAGTGTTAGCCAAAGAATCAAAATTCAGATATTTACACAGTGATGATGGGAATATACATTGAAAAGGAATTTCAGACAACTGTACCCAACATATCAAAAGTTTCAAGTTGAGATTAATTTATCCTGAGAAAATAAATATGCCTCAAAATATAGGTATTAGGATGACCAAAGCTCTGTTGTTCAGTAAAGAACAGTTAAACAAATTACAACACGATCATATATGAGAATTCCGTGTAGTTTACATATAAAAGCTAGCTTTTCATAAAATTTAAGAAATTCGATAAAGTAAAAATATAGCAGCAATGATCAAAAAATATTCTGAAATTAATCTAGAGAATATTTGTTCAGTGGACAGCCGTCTTTGGGGGTCAGGGGTGTGCTAAGAATGTTGACCATGTAAAGAGCAATTCAGCATAGAAAGCTCTGTCACAGCTGTGAGGGTGACTGTCACCAACAACACCAGGGAAGGGCCCAGACTCAAATTCCTTAATGAGCCGTGAGACAACACTCCCTAAAAGGAATGAAAAAGCTCAGGAACTTGTTTTTAAGGGGGAAGAGATGCAATGGGGAGCAATTGGGAAGATATTTCATATCTTTTTTTTCTTCATTGGAAGAATAAGAGTTCTCTTGAGCCACACACATTAAATACACAAACACTAATGAGAGCTGTGTAGCAAAAAAAAGATCCATACATACTTTTCGTGATATCTGACACCACAGATAAGCAATAAAAGTCCTTACAAAATCAGCATTCAGTCCACAAACCACGGGTTGGACACCTCTCTAGAAGTTTCTATACTCCACCATTCACATTCATGCTAGAAAAAATATCTGGTAAAAACTAGGTTATTTATTGTTTGCTTAAGAGATAAAAGAGATATTAATATATGTAAGTTTTGCAAATCAGCACCCAGAATGTGCACTGGATAAAGTTATGTATTCTGTGGCACTGAGAGTGTGGACAGGAACTGTCTGGTTGTGTTAATTTTAAATGAATTCACTAATATTAATTACAAGCTCCATTAGTGGGCTCAGTTTTCCACTTCACAGCAAAACAGACGATATATAAAATGTAAGCATACTATTATGACGAGAGGTTCACATCCGTTAATTTAATTCCAAGGAGTTTATCCCTGAAAACTTTATGTTAATAATGGTTTCCCACCTAGAGGGAGTGGAAACCAAAGGAGAGGCCAAAGTAACCCACTTACCATGGGTGGAACTCTGCATTGAATTCTTTGTGAACCACTTGTGGTGACATTGATGGCACAGGACTGAGATCCAAAGAACACCAGTCTAACACCTTCCAAACTAGAGCCCCGGATGGTGGCCCAGAGCCCTCCTGTAACAAAAACAGCATTTTCATATGGGATCCACAGCCATGTCAGCAGACAAAAACTAACCATCCGAAGAAAGTTAAAATGAAATTAAACTATGAAACTCTTTAGTCAAGACACAAGACAGCGCTCAAAAAAGGTGCAGTGCAGAAAAAGACTGAAGCTAACCAGGCAAACTGAAGTTAAATACCTCCCCCGTATAGAGAGGGAAAAACAGTGAAAGGGGCAGAGAGAAGAAATACAACCCGCAGACCTTTGAGAGTAAAACGCAGGGGCACAATACTGCCACGAGTCAGAACAGTAGATGGAGGAAAACTGGTTTGGCCCCTAGATTTTAAAATCTCATTTTCTTCCAATCCTATAAAATGTATTCTATCCCTGAAAGCCCAAATGTTAGAGAGCACTAGTCCGCGTGGTCCCTGAGCTGACTGTTCCTCATTCTCCCCATCTCTAACCCTCTCAGCTTTGCGATTCTACGTACTAGTTCTAGTCACCTGGATGGTAGAGAAACAACTCGTGTCCCCAACCACTGCCATGAGGATCCCTCTGCTGCCTTCTCCTTTTCCCTGCAGACATCAAGAAGAGGAAGGCCCCCTCCGCTGCTGCTAAGATCATGACACATTGTCCTGTCTTCACTCCTGCCCCTTCTGGATTTTTCTCCTAACACACTTGCCACCACCTCACAAAGACCAGAGCCTTTGTTTTCATTTACCGTATCATAGCATTAATAGTGCCCAGCACATACTGACAGTGATACAAATTGTTGTTCTCACAGTTGTGCATGGTATAAAAAAGTTAGAGGTGGTGATACTTTGCCATTTTCATTTGTGCCTCCCAAGAATCTGTCCCTTAGGAGAAGGCAACATTATTTCAGTACAAAAATGGAATCAAGGCCATATATAAAGCAAATCTAAGATATTCCTTTTAAAAAAATCCTTCTAAGGGTGCTTCTGCATATAGGCAAGTGGTGATTTAGGATATTAGCCACATTACGTACACGTATCCCTCACACCTCAACTCTGCTGTAAATTTCTAGCTAGTAGGCATCAGCCTGGTTTTCATGAAATCCCATATAGCAGCATTTCTCAAACTGCACTATTCATAGAAGTTGCCTGAGGATCTTGTTAAAATGCACATTGACTCGGGAGGTCTGGGTGGAGCCTGAGACTCGGTGTTTCTATTAATAACCAGCTCAAGGTGATGCAGATACTGCAGCTGGTCTGGGACCACGCTCTAAGTACTAAGGTCTGCAGCACCTAGCATGGAGCTCTACACAGGAAGGCTCAACCAGCCTGAGTGATGGATTAAGCTTGATTGATTGATTAACACAAGTTGATGCTATATAGCTAGCAGAGCAGAGGAAGGGTTAATAAGGAGAATTTAAATCCAGTAATAAGGAACATAGCAGCTAGAGCCTCTCCTTCTCCCTCTATCCCTCCCTCTTTTTCTCCTTAGTCTTAAAATTCCTTGCACCCTCCTAGCATATCCCTTCTCCGAGTTTTTTTCGCTAGAATATAAATGTGTGATATATGATCCTCCCACTCCCTTTAATACATATTACTGGTACAGCTTATAGGGTGACCAACTCATTCCAGTTTTCTGGGGACCAAGTGTTAGCTCTGAGAGTTCTGCATTGAGTTCTGAAACTGAAAGTCTTGTGACCTGGGACTCCCTCAGTCCTAGGCAAAGGTGGAAAGTTGGTGACCCTCCTTGTGCAAGGCACTTTATGTAGGGAAAATAAAGATGAATGAGTCTCCTGGCTGCCTTGACGGTGTCTAAAATCTAGCTGGGGGGCAGGGAGCTAGAGTGTGTGGCCTGAACTGCAAAGGTAACTTTGTAAGAAGATCAAAGTCCCTTATAAATACAGCGAAAAGACTGTCCTGGGTCCTAAACTCAAACCAATAATTACTGGACTGATATAGAACATGATTTTCCTCTCTGTATCATCTGGCTCCTTCCTTAAATCACTGGGAAATTAGACCAAGTGCTGCCTGCCCTGTTTCAGGTATAGAGAGGAGGTGGGGAGGGTCTTATACTTCACTGTTCCAGGCAAAGCAGAGTCAGAAGCAAGCTGTTTCTTTGAGCAAGGACTCTGTGACTAAAATACTGCCTTAAAATATGCTGTAAGCTGAAGTCCTCTGGCCACCAGAATAAATCCTAACAAAAGTCCATTAGGGAGTCTGTGCTGTAAAACGCAAACATTAGAAAACATAAGCATGAGTATTCCTGAGATTCTTGCGATCTGGCTGGGTTATTCTCAACTGCTTGCGTCCCAGTGAAAGCACCAAGTCACGGAGAGATTTCTGGTTTTCCATGGAACTAAGACCCAATCTACGGGGTCAGGTTGACATGACCCACTGCCCTCTGCATTCCTCACAACTCCAACAGTAACTGGCTCTGCGTACTAGCCGCATACCCACTGCACATCAGCTAACACATGTTTGTGGAATAGCCCATGTTCAAAGTTCCTAGAGGATGGGCAAGCCCTGTACTTCACATTTGTTGAGTGTTTTTATTTTTAAAGACATTTCCCATCTGTTGACTCATTTTAGTTCATCCAAATCTAGGTAACCTACAAGTCAAACATCCTTAGATCATCCTATGAATTAGGCAGCCTGGTCTGCAGCAAGAGCCAAGGAGTGAGACCGTGCTGGTTTTCACACCAGCCCCACGTCTTTCCCTGCAAAGCTTAGGAAAGTCACTCTTTTCTTAGAAACACCATTATCTCATCTGAAAAATGTGGGTAATAATTTCATTCCTTGGGCAGTTGTAAGCATTTAGAGGGTGTGACTCCTTAGAAGAAACATTCAATAAATGATAGTGTGGCTATTACTATCATTATTGGGAAAGTAATTAGAACCCATACAAGTAACTGCAACTTCTAAGGTCACACGTCAACTTCTCAGGTCAGACCTCTGACTTGTGGTGGGATGAAAACCCAGGCACATGCTCTAACTCCCAATCCAGCACTGTTTCCTCAAAACCAGATGAACCTGGTGACTCAGGGACTAGCCCAATTACATGTGACAACACAGCCAAACTCTAATCTTTTATGTGGTGAATGAGTTCATGTAAGGGCTCAAATGTCTGTTGCTCATTAGAAGGGCTGATGTCAGAAAACAAAAAGCTGTGACTCAGAGTGGATATGGAATCTATGACAGGGCAGGACTGGACACCTAACAGCAGGACCACTAGCTTCACAGGTTAAGGTGCACAGTAAGGCCTCCCCAGATTACCAATCTCTGCAGCTCTGGAAGGTTCCACAGCATCCAGTCTAGGCTCCACCTTCAGGAAGAGGCCTTCTCCACTGGCATTGATGGCAAGACCAAAGGGTCTCACCAACATCGAGATCCAATGCTCTCCCACCGGTAGCATTTCTGTCTGACAGACTACATTTGTTTGGTTTGAGAAAATAACTCTACAATTTGTTCTGTTCACTGTAACCTGCAAGGACTTGGAGTCACTGGAGAACCCAGTTCCAATAATGTAAACTAGTAGGTTGGCGTCAGCATCTTAAAAGAGAGAAAAAATTTAAAAACAAAATCATCTCTCAGTGATATTATTTCATTTATCTCTTTCTAACATCCAATGTTCATTCCCTTTCCCCTGATCCTCCCAAAATTCAGGGAGTTGAATATTGACTCAAATGTTGGACATCTGAATCTATTATTATAGTACAGAGCCCCCATCTTAAATTCTCAAACTATAATGAGGAATCACTGCTTAATAAAAAAAAAATCAAAAAATATTTTAAAATAAGACACAAGGAGAATAAAACATTTCAAGTCATCAAAAATCTACTTGCACCTATAATCCTAGCACACTGAGAAGCTGAGGCAGGTGGATTTCCTGAGCTCATGGGTTCGAGACCAGCCTGAGCAAGAGTGAGACCCCCATCTCTAAAAATAGATGAGCATTGTAGTGGGCACCTATAGTCCAGCTACTTGGGAGGCTGAGGCAGGAAAATCACTTAAGCCCAAGAGTGTAAGGTTGCCGTGAGCTATGACATCACCGCACTCTACTGAGGGCAACAAAGTAAAACTCTGTCTCAAAAAGAAAAAAAATCTACTTGTTCCCATTCCATATAATGACAATATTCCTCAGATGTACCAAAACATGCACTTTCTGTTGCATCACTCAACCTCCACCTAATAATGAATTGATGGACCTTCTATCTAGCCATCACTAGCGACATGGCCTCCAGCAAAATCACTTTGAGTCAATTGAAACACATTCTTCCTAGTAAAGAACCACCAGAATGGAAAAACAAGTATCCAGTGTGCTCGGTTCTAATATGAAGCCAGTAGACAAACTAATACACGCCTACACAGGAGAAACACTCAATTCAATTCAGGTCGGGAGCAGGGAGAGGGGAAACGAGAGGAGGGAGGGAGATTGGTGGGCTCCTCCTTACTGGGCACAACATAAGTGTATATGGCAGACCTCCTGAGCGTAGGACACAACTACAACAAGGACTTTACCTAACAAATGCAAACACTGTTCGTACCCTCATATTAATCTGAAATTTTAAACAAAACCACTCTGAGTCTCAGGTTCATGTCCCTCTCAATCATTAAGTCACAAATCATACCGAGAGAATACCACATAGAATGGACCCAGGGAGTTGATGCTTGGAGGTACTGGAAAGAACAAGAGCCCGGGCAATGAGCTGGTATGTCATTCACTTGCACAACCACCTGGAAAAAAGGCAAAAAAAAAAAAAAAATATTTAGGCATTTCATATGCACAAGGTGTTAAGTTGTGAAGTTTCCCCAAGCTAAAATGTGTTCATGATCCACTTATTATCTTTCCTTTCTCTGTTTCACCAGGAATTAGTCTTAAATTGCAATGAAAGGCTCCAAATACATGATGCCTTCTTAAAATTATGGTGGATGTGCTGAAATCCATTTCTGCAATTAAATATGGTAAATCTTGAGTAAACTCCCTCTCTGTCACATAGAAATAAATTTTATAAACTTAACATGTGCAAAGACTTCTTATCGCTCAGTATTTCTAACCAGGCACCTGCCTCAGGGGAAAAGCCCTTTCTTTGCCAGCGAAGACCAACAAAGTAGGAACTTTGCTTCCCCCAACACTCCATGAATATATAACTTAAGACTAAAGTGTTTGTGGACATTGATTGAAAGCGTGTCTAAGCCGTGGCCTGCAGGTCACGCACCGATTGTGTGAGGGCTAGTTTGCTTATCTGTAATGGGAGCTAGCACTAAAATTATGCACACATCTTTTATGTTTCTTTTTTGCTCATCAGCTTTCATTACTGCTTGTATATTTAACATGTGGCCCAAGACAACTCTTCTTCTTCCAGTATGGCGCAAAGAAGCCAAAAGGCTGGGCACCTCGCCAAGGTCCTTTTTGTCTTAAAATGGTAGGTTACCAAGAAGAGACTATTTGTCTTTCCCTTTCACTGGAACTAATGGTAATCTAATAGAACTTAAACAATACTTGGAAATGAGAAAGAGGAAAATGATATGGCTCAATTGATTCTCTACATATTAAAAAAGGATTAAGAGTCTTCATACCATATGACAGCACTTCCTTCGGAAGGGAAGAGGAATTGGAACAGTACGGTTGATAAAGAACACTTCCATTTTACCTGTCTCATTTTATTTTTCCATAAAGAATTATTAATATATTAGAATGTTGATGACAAGTAGCAGATGAGTACTCCTATGTTGGTTATATTATTCTTTCCTGTTTTTATGTTTTAAAACTTTCTCAAAAGAAGATGACCTTATAACAAGAATATGGGAAGATAGAGAAGAGAAAAGCCCGTTTTAAAGACAAAAGGAATAACTTAGCTCATTTACTTTCCAATGCCCCTGAGTGGAGACATAAATCATAGTCAGCTATAGAAGTCCTCTAACTCTTTTGCACCCTAAAAATAGTATCACTATTATAATAGGATATTGCGGTTACAAGCATTTGTGTTTTGCATAGTAGTTTACATACTCTATAGACGTAGAAAGAGGACACCATAATTACAAATGGTAAAAATGACCCTGGGAAGCTAAATCAACTGGCCCATGTTACAAATCAGTTGGAGGCTGAGTTAGACTTGAAACTAATACTTGCACTTCGGGTGGCCCATCCATGCTCACCTGGGTGCACTGGTTGGCAGTAGCTAACATGTCTCCAAATACAGGTCCGAGGAAAACTCCCCCATCATATACCACACGAGTAGTTGCAACAGGATTCAGTCCAGTAAGATTTCCAGCAGAGACCTGAGATGGTTACATTTGTGATAAACTCTTTCATGGAACGGAAATCGAATCTTGGGGCGGGGGTCTAAAACACATGATGGGGCGGTTTTCACATTCTGTTTGAGATAATCAGACAGCTAGAAAGTGAAAAGGAAGTGAGAGAATTGGAATCTCGACACCTAACAGTAGGGGCTAATGAAAACCATAATAGATTGGAGAAATATTGATTTGCAAGTACAGTTCCCCAAAAAGGCACAACAGACCAACTTTGTATCTAAGCCTTCATACGTCTTCCTATGTATCTCTATTTTATATGTTTGAAAACAAAAATATTAAAATAAAATGTATAGAAAAATTACTGAGATAACAGCAAGGTCTCCTACCCTCCCTCTCCACCTCCACACCAGTATTTTGTTTGAAAACCAGATGACCTACAATACCATATACCATAGAACTGAGAAAAAAATTTCATTGGGGTCTTCATTTTATAATAACCAAATGCTAGATGATCATTATATTATTTTTTAAAACCCTAAATATGCAAGAGCATCTGGTTTTGTCATTATCCAAAGACAGCAAATTCTTTTCTAAACTTCCTTCTGCTACTCCATCTGCTTCCATGGTAATCTAAGTCAATCACATCTGCTTAAATTATCCAATAACAGATGTAGAATTATTGTATGGTGGACACTGACCAACAAATTCTCTACCTACACCAAATCATGAAAAGAGATGTTGGGTTTAAAATGCTTTATCAGGGATACAAGATACAAAATACGTGTTGAAAACTTTTAGAAGTAAAGATCACAAAATCCCTTTACTTGACTATTCCAACAAAATGAATAATTCATGAGAGTTTTCATTCCTATAATTCTGATTTTTGCTTAATCAAGTTTCTCCAAAGCACCAAGTCTATCCCACTAACAGGTATACTATACATACCCGGATAAAATTGGGCAAATCCCCAATCTGGGTGGACCAGGACAGGGTCCACACATGTTCATAACAAGTGTTCAGATCCTCCTTCACAGTGAAGTCACTGGCGTTGAGGTATCTGGAGGTGACAGCATCGGCATTGCTCTGCAAAAGCTTGTGAAGGTGACTTGCAGAGATGTGCACAGGGACATCTGTGAGATAGATTTTTGAAACAGAAAACACATGACACTAATTAATCCACCTTATAGGGTTTCCTTATTAAGGACCACAGAGAATAAATAAACAGGATGCCTACCAAATTGGCAGGAGACCCTCAAGGTCACAACAGAGCTTTAAGAGAACTCCAGCCCTAGCTAAACTATTTCTGTTCCTAACACAAATACAACCAGATGCCCATTTTTTACAACATAGTATCTTTCATCAGTATCATATCACATAGCAAGCAGGGAGCCAAGTCATGTCAGACAAAACCATCTCAACTCTCAACTCTAAATGTAAACTCCAGACACTCTTGTAATGCCTGAAAGTCTAATTAAATATTGGGCTTTCCCTGGAAAAATTTAGCTGGCCCTGTGAACAGAGAAAAGTTGGCCACTTTTCACAGGGAGTGGGGGAGGCATACAGCAGCTGACACTCATAAAAACTTAGCCAACTCAGCTGAGGAATGTTGGCATTTAACTTTGGTTTCTCTATTAGAATTTTCTTTAAGCCCAACCACCTGCTTCCCCATTCCACATTCCCGCAGAGAAATAACAACACTGCGTTTGAACCCTGCCTCATGCCTTACCAAAAGTTTCCATTTCATTAGCTACTCCCAACAGCCCTGTGAGGCGGGTCATTTGGGCACCCTCATGCCTACTTTTAGAGATGAAGAAATGAAACCCAATGATATTCAGAAGCTTGCCAACCCAGTCAGCCAGGTTTAGATTAAAACGCAAGTTGCCATCTACCTTCTCAAGAGCTTTCTTCTTTAATTCTACACTGCCTGCAAGGGTTAATAAAATATCACTGTATTTCTAAAAAGCCAACAAAATTCTTATCCTTTTAAAAAACATGTTTCTACATGGATAACCATTTCAGATCCATTCCCATTTCCAAAGGCCAGGTTAGTCTGACTTTCCCCCCTTGTTTTCCAGAAAGTGATGTGAGGACTGTTAGCAATGTAACATGGCGGCAGGGAGTTTCTCTGCCAGCACAGAAATGGACTTCTTAGAGTAGGGCTGTATTGCCATTTATTCACCCTTTTATCAGACTCCAATTCTAGGTGCCTTCAACTTTTCCTAAGTTGCCCAATTATAGTAAAGCCACCACTCTGTTCTTCCAACCGAAGAAGAATTTTTTGCGAGCCCAGTGCCTTTCTGCTTGAATGATGTATCAACTTTTAGACAGCCTCTCTGGAGTTCTCCTGAGCCTCTCTCTGACTCCACATTCTTCTACCAAACAAACAGCATGTCATCATTACTTATCTTTGTTTTTTTTTGTGAAATGTGTGTATTCTTGAAGGTTATAAGTGCTACTCTAATTGCATCCTAAAGCTCTTTCAATATTTGTCGTGAACACTAAGATTCTAGGCAGCATATGGTGTGTCCATTGACTTTAACTCTGAAGGACCATGACTACCACGGACTAAAAAATTCTAGCAAGACAAGAACTGACCTAAGAATTAAATACCTAGGTTCATATCTGGACTCTACCATCAGTTATTTATATGACCTTTGAGCAAGCGTCAGAGTAGTTGGCTGAATGGTGTTCCCACTCCTCCAAAAAAGATACATTAATATCATAATTCTCAGAATATAGGAATGTTACCGCATATGGCAAAAGAATGAATATTTCTTTTTGTGCAAAGATGTGGTTAAGGATGTTAAGAGAAGTTTATCCTGAACTATCCAGGTAGGATCTAAATGCAACTATAAGTATCCTTATAAAAGAGAGAAAGAGGCAATTTTTAGATGGAAAAGGAAGAGGCAGTTTAGCCATGGAGGCAGATGTTGGAATGATGTCCCCAGCAGCTAGAAGAGGCAGGAAAGGGATCCTCCTTAAGAGCCTTCTGAGGGACCGTGCCCCTGACAACAACTTGATTTTGGACTTAATGGCCTCCAGAACGGGGAGGAAATCAATTTTTGTTGGTGTTTCAAGTCATCAACTTTGTGGTGATTTATTACAACAGTCTCAGAAAGCTAATCCTACTCAGTTTCCGCATCTACACAGTTAAATGTTGGGCAGGCAGTAACAACAAGTCCTGTTCCAGGTCTTTAACTTCAAGAAGGTCATTTTTAGACATTGTGAAAATGAAATAGCTGTAAGACTTTCACCCTATCTGACAACCTCATAGGATGCTTTTTGCCTAGAAATGCCCCTCAATATGTAAATGAGAAGGGCTGTACCCCCAATTGCCTCTTTACCAAGAATCACTGTATTAGAAAGTTGGATGTGAAAGTGTCCTCCTAACGGTGGACTCGTCCTCTGTAGTCTCTGTGTTGTCACCTGGTCCAGTCCAGATCCTTCTTCTGTTCCTTCAGTGGCCACAGAGCTGAGACATGTCAGAAACAAGGCATTAACCACAGCACCATCAGAAAGCGCTAATCCATGCAGAACAGAGCTCCATTTCAAAGACCACATCATCCCCCAGGGTTCCAGGCCATGAGCTCAAATACTGAATGTCCCTCTTTTGTCACAGCAGAAGCAAAACATAAATATTAAGATTCTTTCTGTTTATGTAGATATGTATGCATTTATTTATGAGACAGGGTCTCTTCATGTCTGTCACCCTACCTCAAGTGCACTGGCATCATCATGGCTCACTACAACCTCAAACTCCTGAATTCAAGCGATCCTCCTGCCTTAGCCTCTCAAGTAGGTGGGACTACAGGACTGCACTATGACATCTGGCTAATTTTTCCATTTCTTGTAGAGACGAGTCTCCTGCTTGATCAGAGGGAGCAAACTCCTGATCTCAAGCAATCGTCCCAGCTCAGCCCCCCAAAGTACTAGGATTACTGGTATGAGCCACCACTCCCAGCCAGATACTAGGATTCTTAAACAGTTTTCCACCCTTCATGCCACACTGATCTTGGGAGCACAGAGATCCAGAGTCTGCTCTGGTTCTGAAACAGAGTTGACAGAGAACTTCTTTTCCTCTATCCTCATCAGTATATGCGAAAAAGAGTCAGTGTGCCCTGGTCCACAGAAGCTTCTGCCCCAGTATAATTAGCTGAAACATGGCCACTCCAGCTAGCCCAGTTCTTATCCAGCTCCTGTGTACAAACACACTGCCTGCCCAATACTGTTTTTAACATAACAAGTGGTTCCGATAAATTGTGACATACCATGAGATCGAATACTACTCATTCATTGTTATAGTACAAATGTTTGTGTACCACTGTAATTTATAATTTGAAATTGTAACCTTAGGAAGTAGGGCCTTATGGGAGGAGATTAGGTCTTGAGGGTAGAGCCCTCATGAATGGAATTAGTGCCTTTATAAAATAGGCCCCAGGCGGCGCCTGTGGTTCAAAGGAGTAGGGCACTGGTCCCATATGCCAGAGGTGGTGGGTTGGCAGGCTCAAACCCAGCCCCGGCCAAAAACTGCAAAAAAAATAGGCCCCAAAGGGACCCTCCTCCCTTCCACCACATTAAGACACAGTGAAAAGGTGGCATCTGTGAACCAGAAAGCAATCATCATCAAACACCAAATCTGCCAGTGCCTTGATCTTGGACTTCCTAGCCCTTCAAGAACTGTAAGAAACAAAATTTCTATTTATAAACTACCCACTGCATGCTATTTCATCTATGGGCTGTGTGGTCTACTTTGCAGCCCAAATAGACTAAGACAGCCACTAAAATAATTTTGGAAAGACGTTTAATAGAATGGGGAAATATTCAATACATGCCATTAGATGAAAAGGGCATGCTACCAATATGGTATGTAATGTTCAACTTGAGGCTTAAAAAGTAAATATATACATGTATATATGTATACAAAACTGCTTGAGCCAAGGGCTGGTAGAATAGAGATTCAACATGTTCATGGAAGCTCTCTCTCAGCAGAGGGATTATGAGTGACATTTATCTTCTTCTGTATGCTGTTTCAGTATTTCCCAAATTTTCAACAATGGACATAGTCAATTTCTAACAACAATATTTGATAGAACTACCTATCGACTACATTCTGCTATGTAGGCTTAACAAATAGAGTAGCACTGCCTGGGTAGTATAATGGCCAGACTGTCTTGCTCAGGCCAGAGGCTTCTAGGAATGGATAAGGGATGGGAGGAAACTCAGAAAGGAAGGCTGTCAGAATCACTGAAAGTATGAATCTGAGTAACCTAAATTAGCTTCTATCATTTCAGAGTTAATAACTTTGGCATTTAGAGCCTGCCAATATAGTACATCCTAAACAGCTTATGGCTATATAGTATAAACTACTACTTCTAGGCTAAAAGCCTATATAGGACATTACAGGACTAAATACTATAGACCATTATAACACAACCGTAAGCATTTGTGTATCGAAAAATGTCCAAATATAAAGAGGTACAGTAAAAATGTGGTAGGATAATCTTACAGGAAAATGTTATAATTCAGCCTGTTATTAACATAAATATTGTTATGTGGGACAGGACTTTCTATAATATATTGTATATGTATAAATACACATAAACACATATATACATATACATACTGTATGTGAAAGGTAGAGAATCTCAATTTTTCCTATCCTACTTGAGTTTAGGTGAAAAATTAAGAGGAAAGATTAGAGTATACATGTGATCCAGGAGCCTGTAGCAGACTGATCCTTGGTGATCGCTTTGTGAACAAGGGCTAGAATGTTTCAGTAAGGAGGAGCAATGCTTACGGGTATCTAGCGCCACCTGGTGGTCAGTGCTTAGAAATAGCTATTTATGGTCCTTAGAGCAGCGTTGCCCGACCTCTCTGGCACCAGGGACAGGTTTCACAGAAGATAATTTTTCCACGGATGGAGTGGGGAAGACAGAAGGTGGAGCTCAAGCAGTGATGCAAGCAAGAGGGAGCAGCCATAAATACAGATGAAGCTCTGCTCATCCGAAGTGCAACTCCTGCTGTGCCACCAGGATCCTAACAGGCCACAGACCCCGGGGTTGGGGGCTTCAGCCTTAGAATATTTCATCTCACTCGAAAGGATTTCAACAAGAGTGATACATGAGGAATGGAATGAAGGGGAAAAAAACAGGAAACGGTGGTAATGGGAACCCCTTAACAGCAATACAACTATTTTTAAACAAATTCACTAGAAAGCAGTTCTCAGATTGTAGTCCCCAGACCAGCAGAATCAGAAAGTTGGATGTGAAAGTGTCCTCCTAACTGTGGAAACACACTAAAAATGCAAATTCTCAGGCCTTCCATGAACATGTTGAATCTCTATTCTACCAGCCCTTGGCTCAAGCAGTTTTGTATACATATATCCCAAACCTACTGAATTAGAGACTGATGGTAGGGCCTGGCAATTGGGTTTTAGTAAGAACTTCAGGTGAGTCTGATGCTGCATTCTTAAGATGGAGAACATTGCTTTAAGTGATAAGACAGATAGCATTTCCTTATAAATGTCCCAGCTCTGTGTCCCCCAAGGCCACTCAGCGATCCCAAGAAGGGGAAGGTGTGAAAAAAACATTCCTTACCATGCAGAGATGAGTGGGAGCTCCATGCCACAACCAGCCAGCCAGGAAGCCACACTGTAGACTGGAGGGGACCCCTCCACGGAGACTGATTCCACCAGGTTCCCGCCTGGACGAGCTGTTCCAGAATCAGCTTGAGAAACTAGAGGGAATAACCCAATTATTATCGAGTAACTCAAGATGAGAGACTTGCTGCATGGAAAATCCCAGTTGAGAGGCTGTTACTCAGATTGTAGCACACATGTAAAGCACAGATTCCTACCTGCCTACTCCAATTTAGAGCACAGGGAGAGGAGGCTGGAGGACCCGCTGTTCAGTTTAGCGCCAGAGAGAAAAAGCAAGGTCATGATTTAAGGGAATAATCACTGATTCCACACCAAAGTTCAATAAGCCCTTGGCCAGCCTCCCCAGCTCTTGGACCCACCCATACACAGGCAAGCTATTGCAATGCCATTCTTTCCTCCTTCCCTTCCCACACCCCCTGGCAACTCCAGGAATGTTCAGCTGATCATTCTTAGAAACTCTGAACACATGAGGCACATCCCTGAGGTACCTGAGTGTTATCCACAATGTGGAGTCAGCACATGTGCAGAAAGCATGATCAAATCTTAATTTTTCCACTTCTGTTGGGTACCCCCTCAGCTAGTCTGGATAAGCCCCCTAAGCCTCGGTTTTCTTATTTCTAAAATGGAAATTATGACATGCCTGATTGACAGCTATCTGCATGGCAAGGAAACTTTAGTGAGCCTACAGATTTTAAATGACCAGAACAATAGATTTTAATATTCTTTTCCTCACCTAATAAGAAGTAAAAGACTACTTCTTCCCTAAGACTGGTTACAATTGAGATTGTAAAGAGTTCAAAGGCAACACTTTCTCTTTTTTTTTTGCATTCTGAATGCCACTTTATTTCTTTTCCCAATTAACGTGAGTAAGCATACAATTAGGCCACATTGCTTGCATTTGTAAGGCAAAGCCTAAGTTGTAGCTATCTCCCTCACACAGGAAGTATGCCACACACCTGTGCGTTGTTCCCACTGGGGAAGAACCCACGGACTCCCCTGTCCCCCGCTGCCTCCCTCTTGGATTCAACTGAGTTTTCTTTCTCTCCTGTGAACATGTTGTTACTCTGTAAGTTTCCAATTAGTATTGAGTAGATGTGATGCCTGCCTTCCCTTTCTTGTTATAGTTTACTCAGGAGAGTGTTCTCCAAATCCATCCAAGTTCTAACAAAGGACACAAAATCTCCATCTTTTTTTGAGTCTGAGTAGTATTGTACTTGGTCCTGGGCATACAAAGATGAATTAGATAAAGATGCTGTTCAACACACGAATGGAACAGTACCCTTAAGCTTATTCAGCTTTGCATGTCCAGTGCTTAGCACGACACTAGTCACAAAATAGGAGGTCTGTAAATTATTACTTGCTCTGCTGGGTAGAGAGTACCAAGATTCTGCTCAGGCGCCAATGGTCACTGGATTCTGATCTCCCCCACATTCCAGCTGTGTGAATTGGAGTAAGATACTCAACTCCCTTTACCCTTGTTTTCCTCATCCATTGAATGGGAAGAACCGGACCATCTCCCATGGGTTTCTGGGAACTAAATGAGAAATAGAATGGAAACTACAGAAGAACTAGGGGACATTAGGTGGGACAACGTAACAAATACAAAATTGGTCAGATAAATGACGTGCAATTAACTATAAATATTAAGTTCAATTGTGTAGTCTATGTTGTTATTAAACAACCCTCAAAACAAAGCTGGCGCAGCAGGATAATACGACAAAACGGGAAGCAGACCCCAGGCCGCTCCTCGCTTCTCTCCTGCCTCCACACTCTCCCTTCCTGCTGTCCCCTCCCCTCAGCCCCTGCAGGATCCCAGTTACACAGAATTTGGGGACAAAGAGGTGGGGGTGGTGAGAAAGGGCTCTGGATCCTTGGCTTCAAGGGTTTGGAGGGGCAGGATGGCATCAAAAAGAAAGAAAAGAGAAAGTGAACAGCACACACCATGTGACCCTGCATTTTCCAACCAGTGGGTGCAAGTGTAGGAAATGCTGATCCCCTCAGCTTCCTGGAAATGTGGCAGTACTGGGGGTCACCGCAGGCCCCAGCCCCTCATCCTAGGCACTGACACGTTCAGGCGGTCACCGCAGCACACCATTTCAGTGCCCTTTTCTCCATGTGCCAGAACACAAACAGGTTTTGGAGTGACAAGCAATGACCCAAATGCCCCCAAAACACTTAAACCGCTGAAATAGATAAGGGCTGGAATTTTGATGGCTATCACAGATGATGCAATTCCAGGGTGGTACTGAGCCCTCTTGCGCCCACCTCCAAGTTCCCTTGCCTTCAGCTTGGCAATTTTTAGGCACAAGGCTAAACATTTGCATATTTTCTAAATCAAAATGTAAACAACTGTGTCCCCATGTTCTCCCTGGAGAGAGAAAGAAGCTAGAAAAACAAACAAACAGAAAAAGAAAACAGCTCAGCTGTTCCTCAAAGTCACAAGGAATTTGACAGAAAAGGAAAGGTGAGCAGAAGTCGGAAGCCTGGAGGGCGGCATGTGTGGCCAGCCTCGCAGGAGCCCTGAGGGGGACTTTGTCCCTAAGACCAGGGAGCCAAGCGGAGGTAGGAGAGACCACTGTGCCCAAGAGAGGTTAAGGGACACTTCACGAGGAAAGGGCCAGGCCTGAGCTCTGGAGAGAGAGAAGGGACAGAGGCATTCTGGGGATATGACAGAACTCTCCAGCTTTCACTGAGTCTGCCTTGAAGGTGGTAAATCAGGCCTATGTCCCATTTATGGGGCCAGATGTTGCTGTATTCCTCCTGGCCCTCGGTATGACAGATATTAACTCATGGAGAGGTGGGAAAATCCTGTTGGCCTAACAATAATGACAATAAAAATAATTACTTACATTTATTAAGCACTTACCCCAGTCAGGACTTGTAATAAGTACTTTATATTAAACTTTGGTTAATCTTCACCATAATCCAGTGAAGGGGAGGGATTTTTATTATACCCATTTTACTGACGAGTAAACCAAGTCTTCTCAGCAAGACAGTAGTAAAATTAAGGTAAGAACGATCACTGGTGAAAATGGGAGAGAGACTAACTAGAGAGTACGGAATCAAGGGCACACAATCCCAACCCCAACTGCTTTCCAGAACCAAGGCTGGTGAGATGGAGAATCACCTGTTCCCTCTACATTAAAACAACAGTGGCCACCCACTCAAGGAAGCTTGAGTAGGCATTTGTCAGACAGGCCCCTGGCAGACAGCAGATGTGATGATCACCTGTTACGTTTGTGTCTGCAATAATAATTTCATCCACAAAGAGCAGACCCGTCTCCTGAGCCAGGGGCAGAAGGTCAATCTGATGAACCCGCACTGGGGAGTCTTCCCGAGGTGGCTGGACATCCCTGGAATGCCGCACACATGTCTCCCAGAGGTCAGTGCAGGTGAAGCGCCATCTGAAAGACAGTGCAGGGCAGAGCTGGGCCTCTCGGTGAGCACTGGCCATCCTCTGCCAACTGGGCTCTCGCTCCCAAACCTGGGGACCTGAGGACTCTGCAGCCAGGAGGGTGCCCCCCAACTCCCATGCACCCAGACAGTCCTGGGTACCATGGTTACAAACATCACCCCCTAGATGGGCTCAGCTCAGCTTTTGATGAAACCTCAGTGAGTCACATTTCTAAGTCAATCATTCATGACACTCAACGTTAGAGCCTTTTCAAATTACAATTGGATTGTGAGTCTCAATCAGATTATACATTGGGCTCTAACCACAGACAAGATGGATAATCCTAGCATTATCAGACTCATTTAGGTTTAAAACCACTTATAAGGGCAGTAAGAAATCTGTGGGAAGAACACTGAAGCAAGAGATCAAGAGGCACATTCTTGGTACACATTCTTGGGGCCCTGATTTTCTTCAAGAATGTTCTGTAAGGCAGTGGTTCTCAACCTGCCTGGTACTGTGACCCTTTCATACGGTTCTTCACGTTGTGGTGACCCCCAACCATGAAATTATTTTCATACACCTGTATTTGTACGGGGTGTATGTGATGGTTTTAGGTGACCCCTGTGAAAGGGTCATTCAACCCCCAAAGGGGTCTCCACCCACAGGTTGAGCACCTCTGCTGTAAGGTCTCTCCCAAACATGGTGTTCCATGATTCTATCCCTCTGAGAAATGTCAGACTCCTTCTAGGAAGTGCAAAATTCCTGACCACTAACTTCTCTGTGTCAAACTTCTTTGTCAAGTAAAATATGTCAAAAGTCTCAGCTTAGGATCTGAGACCCAAATATAAGACTGTCAGTACGTCCAGTGAGCCACTGTCCCCAAGAGAGCTAATACTCGCAGCTGGCAGAATTCCCACAGCACCTCCTTACCCATTAGCTACCTCTCGGGACTGGTCATCGTGAGAGTCCAATCACAGGTGACGTTCTTCTGTGTCACATTGTGAAAGCTGGTTGTGTAGGACACGGTCATCTTCACGATCATATTCGTGTGGCCTTTGTATGCAAGACACAGCTACAGACACCAAATAAGTCCTTCAGTTCTATGAGTCCAAGAAGCAGCTGCTCAAACAATATGTAATGAGGACTCCACATCCCTGGACCCCAACCACATGCTACAAAGATAGACCAGTTACTGTCCCCTGGAGTTTACCAGTCTGCCTGGAGAGGCAAATAACTTAGAATAAATTATTATTTATTCACCTTAATAAAGCTGGGGGAAATGCAATAAATATTCTTTTAGGGCCAAAAAAATCTCATTCAACAGTTTCTAAGTGCCTAGCCCTGTGCTCAGCTGTAAGAATTGTAGTATCTCAATGAAAAAAACCCTATTCTAACCCAATGACCTGTGCAGCCTTGAGCAGGTCACTCAACCTCTCTGACCCTAAATCCTCAGTATCCCCGGTCTCTAACTCAGTTATGTGGACAGTTATCTGGCACAAGAAGAACTTAGAGCAAGAGTTTTCAACCTCAGAACTACTGACATTTTGGAAGCTTGATAATTCTTCACTGTGCCTTACAGGAAGTCTGGCAGCATCCCTGGCCTCTACCTAGAGGATGCCAATCGCATTTCCACAGCTGTGACAACTGAACATGCTTCTCTATGTGGCCAACTTCCACCTGAGGGGCAAAGTCACCCCACTGGGTGCCCCTGCAGTGGAGGAGAAGCTGGGAGGGGCCCTGGCCTGAGCCATTGAGTCCTGGCTCCCACTGGGCCAGACCAGGAAAGGACTTAAAACTACTGCCCTATACTCTGCCACCCAAGCAAAACTCATTCTTCAAGGGGCAAATAAGCTGCACTTCTTATTCAAAGGGCAGCAGAGCCATTGAAGCAAAGGCTCTAAGAGGTGCTCAAGAAATGTGTCAGTCAATTCGACCATCCATAATAACAATAGCTAAAGTAACAATAGCCTTCCCTGAGTCCTTACCTCTGCATAAACACTTTATTAGAGGCTCTCATTTAACCTTCACCACTGTCCTGAGAGGATGACCACATTATTACCCATTTTACAGGTAAACTAAGATATAATGTACTTTAAAAAGCCATTGAGGGCACACAGGGTGTAGAGTTAGGATTTGAAACCAGATCATCTGACTATAAAATCTACACTCTTTTACTCAGAGATTAAAGAAAACATTGGAGTTAAATCTCGCACAGGTCTCAGAGCTCATACAAAGGCCTTTCTAGATGACCTGTTGGTCTAGATGACCACCATGTAAGTGTGGGCCAGCAGGGTTCATACCTGAAACAGCAGTTAAGAGACCTAGAACCTCAGCCCAAAGTGTCATGGGCCAGTCACAACGATCACTATGCTCTGTCTTTTCAGTCTCAAACCCAGATAATCATACTAATCCCTCCTGCCCTCCTGGCCTGGAAACGTGAGGGCTGCTACTCACATGTGTGTGCTGATCTAACCAATAGCCCTTCTGGGAAGCTGAGGGCATCAGAACAAGGTGTCGAGGCTGACGGAGGCTGAACCTGCCACAGAAAGGCTCTGACCCACTGGTGAGGTCCCCATCAGAACTGGAAACTTCTGGACCTGGATGTAATTCAGATTAAAAAAAAAAATACAAGTGTTGATATTAAACAAGAGAGACCTTCCCAGCATGTGTGTGGGCAGTGGGCTGCAGGTTCACCATGAGAGAGCTGGGCAGGGCTTGGGTGGCTGGCACCCCCAGCTTGAAGGCTCCAGCCGTGACAAACCCATTCTGTCCACCCTAGAGCATCAAAAGCCATTCCCATGCTCTGTGCACTAAGACACGAAAAACTATTGAGAAGGAAAAAGACAAGGAACATCGATCAGAATTTAGTTCATCTTATTAGCAGTTCAAAAACATACCCTCACATTTTAAGAATTTCTTAAGACTGCTTTCTTCTGTAATAATGCCTCTAGATGCAATTAGAATGGAATGAGATTTGGACAGTTTGTGCTGTTTCTTTATTTTTATTCTATACCCCTAACCTTTGCCAGTGCATGGCATTGGAAGTATCCAGGGAGTGCTTCACCCCCTAACAGCTCAAAAGGAAAGTCAGACGGCAAATCTTTCCTTTCTGCTGACCCCCACACCATCCATCTCCCTCCCATTGACACAGCCACTCCCTTGCCCACTCAGGATCCAAATTCAGTGCTCCCAATGAAGATTGTTCCCATTTTGTGGAAACAAAAAAGACAATGATGGAAAAAAATAATAGTAATTTGTCAAAAGATGCACAGTACCTTGTTCAAATCCAAGCCTCAGTAGGACGTTAGCTGAAGGAGGTTCCAGTTTGCATTTTACTGCAAGTAACTCCTCAATGGTTGTTTGAATCTATCAAAAAGAAAAAAAAAATTCCAGGAATGTATATCATGGGCATAAAGACCACCCCAAGTTCCCTTGCCCCACCCCTCATTATGTGAAGAAATTTCTCACCTGATGGGCTGTGGCATTTGCAGGGATTGGCTGACTAGAAACATTGTCCCACATAAGGAAGAAGTTTCCGCTGCCTGACACGTTCAGCACCTACAAAGTCAACAGAGACAAGACTAAATCCGGGCACTAATTGGGCTAGAGAACCTACGTAGGAACACAGGGCATGCTTCCTCAGCTTCATAATTACAACTTCTTAAATGCACTATCATCACCTAGAAAGATCTGAAAACACAGCGTTTCACCTAATTGAGAACTTTTCTTGGGACAATATATGCCTGTCTCCCTATTTACTTGTGCCCATTTTCTTGGAATATGGGATATAAAGGTTGCCATCAAATGGCACACTTTCGCCCCCCTCACGACCTGCTTTCTCCGCGGGTAGCCGGGTGGGCAGAGGCATACACAGCATGTCACCCACACGCAGGGCCTTCCCAGGTGAGCAGAGGCATACACGGCACGTCACCCACACGCGGGGCCTTCCCGGGTGGGCAGAGGCATACACGGCACGTCACCCACACGCGGGGCCTTCCCGGTGGGCAGAGGCATGCAAGGCACGTCACCCACACGCGGGGCCTTCCCCGTCTCTGCTTTGCCTCCAGCACACCCAGAGTGGAGCAAGAGCTGTGCAGCTTTTAATCTTCTAAATCACTTGCTGTTTTCTACTTTGCCCTATGGTTATTTGTGTGCATGCTTTACTATTAGACTAGAAGCTTTAGAGATAAGGTCCATATTAATTTGCCTTTGTACACCAAAAAGTGTACACAAAAAGTACATCAAAATTGTTCAACAAAAACATGAGGCACAATTTGGGGACCCGAAGGACATGACCTTCACCAAGTAGATTCAGAAAATGTAGCATATAGGGAAATCGGACCTGACTGTGTCAGAAACTAAGGAGTTTCATGTGTATGTGCTCACATGCATGTGTGTGTATGTGTGTGCATGTGTGTGTGTGTGTGTTTAAAGGACTTTATGTCTACTCTGGGGAATAAATTTCTAAAAGAAGACTTACTTGGGGACTTAAATTCTTAAAACTTATTCAATGAGCAAGCAAGTCTCAATAATAAGACTACATTTTTTAAAACATCATCAAAATGTCAAATAGATATCCTATTTCTTTGGCAGCACAGTTATAATTATAAGTCACGTCCCTGGCTCCCAGTCAGTGGTCTTCTGCTAGGCAAGACTTTAGTTTTTCCAGAGGTCAGCTTTATGGAACTCGAAAGAGGCACAGACCTGTATTTCCGGAAGCCTCTGGGCTCGGGCTCGGATCTGGTGTTTCTCCCGGAGGTAAGTGGTAACCACATCAGGACTCAGCCAGGTGTTATGAATCTGGACGCCGATTCTCATCCCTGTGCTGGGGGCTATCCCATGATGCTCTGCTTCCAAGTAGTACTTGGCTCCACCCAAGAGCTCCAACTTGGGTGTCTTCTGCTGCCACATCCCTTCACCCCCATGCTGCTCCCAGGAGTCAAACCAGTCAGCACTGCCAACCCCAATGGAGGCCACTTTCACCTATGCCCCAATAAGTAGAGCAGGATCAAGCACAGATCAACAGTCGGAAGCTTCCAGGCATCTCTTTCCTGAACACCAAGTGTCTGGAAGCTGCTAACAATGCCAACAAGAGGCTTTTGAGCTGGTCTGTCTTTTCTAATAAGTTGTCCAGTGGTCTTGGCCTTGTGGTTGTTTCTCTCTCCCTCTCTCTCTGTCTCTCTCAGTTGAATAGTACTCAAATGAGGCAAGATGCTCCTGCTCAAACTGTTCTTGAACTCCTGACATCAAGCAATCCTCCCGCCTCGACCCCCCAGAGTGCTAGGATTACAGGTGTGAGCCACCACACTCTGTTTGGCTACTTGTTAAAGACACCTATATTTATCTTCTAAAGTTGGCAGAGAGATTCCTACATAAAGCTGACTATATTTCTACTCTAAATTAGTGGAAAGGGCAAAGGTTTTGGGGCCAGACAAATCTGGGTTTGAATCCTAAATATGCCTCTAAGTATCCAAGTAGTCCTGGATTGGCTATAAATCTCAATTTTTAAGCCTAAATTTCCTCATCTGGAAAAGATATATATATCTTTATAGATAGAAAGATAGGTCTCAACAGACACATGGTGAAGATTAGAGACAAAGTAAATAAAAGATGTAGGGCAATGCCTGGCTTACAGTAAATGCCCAAGGAACAGCAGGTGCCATTACTCTCAGCCAAATTCTTTCTCAAAATTAATGTCCCTGGGCACTGATGGCATGTCACAACTATCTGTAGAATATGAGAGCTTTATGAAACTAATTTATAGCTCTCAAATGAAAGCTACAACTTAATTCTAGCCCAAGAATATGGGGAGGGGGTAGGGAAGGGGAAGGGAGAAGAGCGGCTGGGTGGTGGGAGGGTGACTGGAAAGATCACCTACATGGTCTGTCTAACAAGGGTGCAAGTGAACTTTCCTAGAACTAGAATATAAATGTTTTGACACAATGACTAAGCAAATGACATGAAGTCTATGTTAACCAGCTTGATGAAAGTATTTCAAATTGTATATGAAAACACTATACTGTACCCGTGTTTGCATTAATGTATACAGCTATCATTTAATAAAAAAAAAAAAAAAAGAATATGAGAGCTTTAACCTTGCTTCTTTCTTTCTTCAGGGTCATAGGCCTAGGGACAAATAAGACAGAGATGAGAGGAAGTTAACTACCTTAGTCCTCGGCTCCTCTGACCCACTCAAATGCAGGGAAGCTTGGCTGTCTGCCTGGATCCAGAAAGTGTAATTATTTGTCTCTGGAGCCACAAAGAACCCACTGAGCCGTGCTCTGTAAAGTAGAAGAACACAGAGTCAAGCAAGAGCAACTAAGGTCTGAATCAATGAACCAACAAATGGTCACCCCTGTACTTTGTTTTTCTTTATGGTAATGAGGGAGATAAGCCTGATTCTTTTTCTTTCTTAAATCATAAATGCATGCATTAATGCACTTATACAATGTGCAGATTCGATATACAATGTGGAATGCTTACATTGAACTGATTAACCTAACCCACCACCTCACTTACTTAGTTGTTGTGGTAAGACATTTATATGCCACATGACTGTCCAGGTGTCCTAGACAAAGGTACAGCACCTGCATAGTATCAATATCGCAATCCATCTCTCTACACAGGCCATAATCGTGGAATGGTGTAATCACAGCATAGGCCCACACGGAGGCTAGCTCAGAAAATCACCTGACCTGGCCAGAAGAGGCTCTGGGCCACAGTCGAAACTCTATCAATAGCAAATATTCTTATTATTAGAAATAAAGAGAGATAACCAATAAGAATTTGCCCTGAGCCTACCAGGTACCTCAACACCTCCAGAAAGTATTTCTCCAATTAAAAAGTTATGGTCCACAGAGAAGAGTTGATTAAATGTGTCAATAATTTCAAATGAAAAGCCATAACATAGATCTTTGAAGAAGATTGCAGGCCATTTCATAAAACATTTTTGAAATAAGAACATTTTTCTTAATGTTGAAGGTAAATTCTAGGGACCTAATATATATGTGGTTAAGAAACTGATTAAACTACTTAAATAAATACCAAGAATATTTTATGCTTATAACATTTTTAAAAATCTTTGCATCATCAATATAAGAAGTTTTTAAATGTTCCTTTGATACATATGTGTTATTTTTATCTTTAGAAAGAACTTCATATTTAAAAATAGTTTCAAAAAAACTAATAATAATAACTTTTAATAATAACTAATAACCTTTAATAATTTAAAGGTCCACCAATAATTACCAATAAATAATATCCATTTTTTTAATTTAAATACTTTAGATTTTAAAGAGATGTATGATAGAGGGAATGGAAAATGGATTGCTATCTGGTCTGTAGCTCCTCAAAATGTCAGTTAGAGGGGCCTACCCTACAAGTCCTTCCATAGGAGTCAAATATTCTTTTGCCTTTTGAGGTAGTCTGATTCAATTCTTAACAATCTCAAACACACTGAATATAGCTGAAATGTTTTTCTTTGACCATTACTTATGGTCCCCAAAAACTATGATGAAGATGCACTATTAGTTGCTACAACAGACCACAAATTACTGACACTTTTCAATCATAAATTGTGCCAGATGCAGTGACTTATGCCTATGATCCCAGCACTTTGGGAGGCTGAGGCAAGAGGATTACTTGAGGTCAGGAGTTCAATACAAGCCTCAGCAACATCATGAGACATTGTCTCTACAAAAACATTTAAAAAAAAAATAGTAGGAGTGGTGGCAGGCACTTATAGTCTCTGCTACTTAGGAGGCTGAGGCAGGAGGATCACTTGAATCCAGGGGTTTGAGGTTGCACTAAGCTATGATTATGTCATCTCAAGCCAGGGCAACTAAGTGAGACTCTGTCTCCAAAAAATAATGAAAATAAAATACCATAAATTGGGGTTAAATGCTTAGTTACAAAGGCTTCAGGAGATAGTCTTCTGTTCACAGATTACTATCCCTACTTGGCTTTTTCAATAATTGTCTCAACAGGGAACAAAGTTTCTCATTGCACAATTAAGTTGAGATCTAAAATGGTAAAATCTTTGAAGAAGACGGCAGATGGGCTGAAGTTCACACTCAGGGTCATGACCAGCCTCTCTGAGAAGGGTTTCTAAGGGGAAAAGGGGTCTATCTCTTAATAAAGGATCCATTCCTCAATATACATGCTGAGAGCACATAAAGAAAATAGCATGTACATAATTCTCAAACTTTTATATTTTTAAGCTTACTATAGTAAACTAGAAATATGACTGCATCCTTAAAACATTCAAAAGACCCAAAACTAAGCAGAAAAATCACAATCACAGTGCAGAAAGAGCCCATCAGAGCTTCCTCTGCTGTAAACCAGCTTCAGCCCTGGGAGGTTAAGGGAAAATTCTAGTGTCTTTCTTTGGCATCAGCCAGATACTAGTTTTACCTTTTAATCATGTACTTGCCACAAGTTCTGCTCAGTCATCTAACATGTGTCCTGGCCTAGTCAGCTCAATGACAATTGATAATTGATAATCCAAAGCCCCAAAGCAGCTTGTAAACTAAGTTGTAAAAAATATAAACTTTGTACATGGATCAAAATTTGTCTATGCACCTACATAGGTCACTAGGGTGACCATCACTGGTGGAGTCACTGTCAAAACTCTTGTTGTTGAACTGCCTGGTGTTACACCTTCGCCCCAGGAAGTCTCTCCTTGTCTGTATCCTAACCTTATCTGTACCGAGCCTAGTAAAGATGCCTTTGCCATGGACTCCCACTTTGCCTACAACATACCTAAAAGGTTGTCCTGCCTTTGACCAAAATCCAGATGGAGAACTGGCATTAGGGACAATCTGCCACCTGTACCCAGGGGTGGCTTCCGTCAGGGCCAAGCCCTCGGCAGCATCTCCAACTTCAAACAGAAGCCCTCGATTGCCTGTAAGATGGATATATCTCATAAACAACTGAGCGCACCACTCCCCAAATTAGGGAACCACTTGGTTCAAATTATAGAGCAAAAGATGATACAGGGACTATTTATAAAGGGAGTCACCCTGAGAGCTTAAAATAGGACAGCAAATGCAAGAGAAGGATGGACCCCACTTCGGATGTAATTAATTAGTAGAAATGTGTTGATAATTTGATACACCGGCAGGTGCACCTATAGGGGCCTCATACCATAGAGGCATGCGGCCCTGAACAGCGGAGGGGGGAGCCTTTTTATACCATTATTCTGCATAATCATGCATGCTCAGCAAGCTAGCAAGACAGAAGCCAATCACAGCAGTTAGCACAATTCAATACAGCTCAGGGGTTACAAAGTAAGGGTATGTCATAAGGGCTTACCCAATTCAGGGTGGGGGTACATGTTCATAAATCACAAAATACATCACAAATACATTACTTCATGATCATAAGATGAGGGTCACATAGTTTGGGGTACAAACAAGTGTTGGGTAAATTTCCGAGAACAACTTGGGACCTTTTCACCCGGGGCTTTATTTGGAATCCACCCCTCCCTGCATACTTCCTTAATCTCAGGCTGCTTCTTTTCACTTGAGGGGGCTGGGACTAGAAGGCTTAGGAGAGGTTTCCTTTTCAAGAGTAGGGGGCTTTGTTCCCCACTGGTCTTAGGGAGGGGGTCAAGGGCTGGGGGCTTGGTTATTACAAGCTAGACAGAGTAGTCATGTGAAAGACCCTATAGACCACAGCAATGTTTGGGAAGCAGAACGCCTTCCTTGGGATAAGAGTTGCCTCTTGGAAAGAGAGACTGGGTGAGAAATAATAAGGGTGATATTCTCAGAGGACCAGAGAAGAATAGGAAGCCCTTTTTAAGGAGAATGCATTGGGAAGAGAACCAGTCCTGAGCAAATGTGAATGAGCAAATGCCTTGGTGGAGTAAAAGGCAGAGCGTGAGATTGTACGCGTGTGACGTGACTCATCTCTGACTCTCCAGGCCAGAAGTAGACGTCATTACCTTTCAAGGTCCAGTTCAGCCTGGGAAATCTATTCCCTAAAATCCTTCTCCCCAAACGGAAAATTGTCAATCCTTAACATTTTTCCAGCGCCACGGCCTCAATCTGTTGACCTGCACCCGAAGCCAATTACGTGGCACACGATGACGTGTGCTACTCTGTGACATTTAAACCATGTTGTATTGATTTGTGTTTCCTATTAAGCCAACCCCGAAGCCAAAGGCACAGCTGCAATCAGTGCTGGATCCTAACTTGGGTTGAAAGTAAAAGTGCTGTAATTCTTTAGCTGTGAGTTCGGGTTTCAGCTCTGCCCTTCAGGTCTCAGAGCCCAGGGTAGCTCTGAGAAAACGCCCCTTGTGTCTTCATTTTCTGGTGCATCAAAATGGGACTAATAATAAATACAGCTAATACATTGGGACTGCGGGAAAAATACACAAGGGCTGTCCGGAAAGTATCCAGCCAGGCCTGTCTCTGTTTTTCATATTACCTGGCTGGATACTTTCCAGACAGCCTTCACATACCTACTCAGACAACCTGAAACATACATACCAAGTGCTTGATAAAGAGAACTTATGATAATTTTTATTAAACTATTACTGTTGTTCCTCAATAATTCCTGAAAGGGCCAGGTAGGTATTGGAATAAGCAGAAAAACTAAGAGCCTGTTTTAAGAATGTTACTTTGAACCAGAATGTCTCAACCTGCGAGCTCCTGGCGTTTTAGGCTGGGTCACTGTCGCGAGCAGCGGTCCTGTGCAGCACAGAATGTTCACAGTATTCCTGGTCTCTCCTCCCAGTACCTGTCAGTATCGCCCCCGCCACCCCAGGTGTAACAGCCAAAACTGTTCTCAGACATTACCAAATGCCACCCCGCCCAGGGACAAAAGTCGCCCCCAGTGGAGAACCACCGCTTTCCATAGTCATCGGAAGCTGGAAGCAGGAGCAGGGCTCCGCTTCCACAGAAGAAACGTCAAGAGCTCTTCATAAAGGGCGCTGCTAACTGTCAAACCAGCTGCATTTCGGAAATTACCCTGCCGCTACCCAAGGAAATGCTCAGAGGGGAGCAGACTCCCTATTTCCTGACAGGAAACACACCTTCTCTCGATTACATGTTTCAGTGGTTTTATTTCCTCAGATGGCAGCTATCCCTAAATAAAAACTGCACTCTGGGAACTGGAGAATTCTCAAGCCAAAGCTTTGCACGGATTTTCACACCTGAATGGCCTTTCTTTAGAAAGGGCTTCTTCCCCTAGGGGGCCGCTTTCCCGTGGGTGCTGAGCCTCGGAGCTGCCTCTGGCCACTTGCAGTTTAATCAGTAAGAGCCTCCTCCACGGCCGCGCAGCCTGTGGTTCCAGGAGGGATAGCACGCTAACTGCGCGCAATCCCTACAGACAGTTCTAATGGTTAGCAGAGAAGCGTTCCAGTGCTGTGCGTTTAATTTGCAGCAATGAGGTGGAAGCTTTAAACAGGGGACAAGTGGAATCTGCTCCCCTGCCTCCTCCATTTCTGCCCACTTCAGACATAAACCAGTGGCAACATCACAAGACATCACAGGGAGAAACAACATTTAAATGCACCCCATGGTGCCCCATTCCCAGCCTTGTCTGAAGCTGTGGTTATGAGCACAGCTGAGCAGCTCCCAGGCTCCTGTACTCTCAGACCAAGGCGTGCAACTGACCCAGCCAATGGAGGGAGGCAACTGGGGGGTGGGGGTATCTTCCAATCACTGGATCCTGGTCTCCACTGAACCCCACCAGCTGAACGTCTGGCTAGAGCTAGGGATGCAAAGTTGCTAAGGGTCTGAATAAATCTGAGAGCCTTCCTGATGAGAAAACCTTGACAAGCTCTGAGCCTGTAGCTCAAGGGCCTAGGGTGCCAGCCACATACACCAGAGCTGGCGGGTTCAAATCCAGCCTGAGCTCACCAAACAATAATGACAGCTACAACCAAAAAATAGCGAGGCGTTATGGCAGGCGCTTGTAGTCCCAGCTACTTTGGAAGCTGAGGCAAGAGAATCACTTAAACCCAAGAGTTGGAGGTTGCTGTGAGCTATGATGCCACAGCACTCTATCCAGGGTGGAACCTTGAAGGTCTATCTCAAAAAAAAAAAAAGAAAAGAAAAGAAAAGACAAGAAAGAAAGAAAAAGAAAACCTTGATAATGGTGCCATGCCCTGAGAGCTTACTGAGCTAACCAAATAGCTGAGACAGAATCAAAACATTTTTATTTCTATTTACCAACCCCTCCTGATTAGAAGTATAACTAGAAAGTTCTTTGACTACTCCTGGTTATTTCCTTACCTGCTTGAGGAGCAGTGAGCCTGGCATCTTTTCCTGGAGCCCTAGTGGTACATTCAATCTTCCTGGGAGACACACGTCTGATATCACATGGAATGCCTAAGGAGAATAAAAAAATTCATACACACAGTATGCATGTGATGTACTTATAGGTACAGAGAAAGACTGAAGTAGGCAGGCTCCTATTCTATGGCAAAGGGCTGGAGGTAGACAGAATAGCAAAAGTTGTCACCCCAATTGCAGGAGGCAAGGAAAGGCAGCAGGCAGAGCTGCAGTGCACAGGGCAAGTGTAGTAATGGGAGGGAAAGCCACGTGAAGCAGTGCCCTCCCCTGGGGATGCACTGAACCCCTCGGCGTGGAAGCTAAATAGGTCTCGAGAGTCAGGACACTCTCCTGCAGCCTTTGTGTCACCACTAAAGGACAATCTCATCCAACAAGACAAAAGGTCCTAGACAGGTCCACAAAAGGGCTTGCCAAGGGGGCATTGCAGAAGAGTCTGCATAGCAAATGACCGCTCACTCCTGCCTATGAAGAAGAAGACAGAGGCTCATGAAGGGTCATTTTTTAGTACAAATGGGCCTTTGTAAAGAGGCAGCTATACTTTTTCTTTCTCTTCCCCCCCAAGATAGGGACTGCTGAGGGAATTGCCCATGCACTGTGAGCACGTCTGCAGGACCTCCTATTCCCATTATATTTGCAGAGGGTCAAGAATAAAGTTACACCTGTTCTCAGCCAAACAAGTAAGAAAGCACAGAGCAGGGTGGCATGATAAGTTAGAAAGGGCAAAGGGAGGAGGGAATGGGTGGAGGGAGGGGGGTTGGAGGGATCAGTTCTGAGGTTTATCTTATAGGGGTACAGGTGAATCTTTCTAAGAGTAGAATGTGAACGTTTTAAAGCAATAACTGAGAAAATGACATGAAGGCTGTGTTGAGCAGTTTGATGGAAGTATTTCAGATTGCATGTGAAAACCCCACACTGTACCCCAGAAGTGCATTAATGTACATAGTTACCATTCAATAAAAAATAAATAAATAAATAAATAAAGGTTTAGTAATCTAAAAAAAAAAAAAAAAGTTAGAAAGGGCAATGATTGCCCCCCGCCCCACCCCACACTCCTCATGCTGTGAGAAATACAGTAACTCCTGCAGCATTTAACATATGAACTATTTTCAGCCATTTCAACAGAGTTACCTGCAATAGTAACTTGGGCAGAGTTGTCAAAGAAGTCTCCTGTAATTGTGATGTCTGTTCTTCCCCCAAGGCTCCCAGTTTCTGGTAACACAGATAACACTTCTGCAAGAGGTTTAAAAAAATAAAAAAAGTAAGCTTCCAAATATAGACCAGAATATGACCCAGATAATACTATACTAATAGATGCTATCAATAATTTATTTCTTACTTTAACCCTCTAAAGTCCAGCAACAGTTGGAATTTTTTATCTAGGAATAGCTATTTTAAAATGCACATAATAAGAAAAGAACTGGAAAATATATTACGCAGGATCAATATTTGGAAACAAGGAGAAATGTACAGTCACTCATGGTATCAGTAAAAGCTCCTGCATACCAAACTGTTTTCTTTGGAAATCTCGTCTCCGGATCTCAAGGACTCTATTTGCATGTCAGGGAACAGGCAGTTACACTGCACGGAGCAAGCAAATGTGGATATCCTGGGAGAGGCCTCAGTTCACTCATATGAATCTACAGTTCATTCTAAGTAGAAGAAGGAACTGTGGGCAGTGCCCTCTCCCTCATCCCCATGCTGAGCGCTCCTTCCCCCATGCAGTCCTCCCCACTTACCCAGCTCTTTCATGCTGCACCTGATTGTCTGAAGTCCCCATAGTCGTAAGTCACATATCCCCAGAAATTTAACTTTATCTCATCCCTTCTTCTCTAATGATCAAATTTTGACAGTTCTAAGTTGCATCCCTTCCAGGGGAAAGAGGAACTGTCTTCTCTAAAGGTACAAAAAGGCTAATTATGACTGGTTTTGCCTTACAATATAAATCATATGAGGATGTTTTATAAGGCCATTGCCCGTGAGACAACCCAGAGGTGATACGGGTAGGCAAGGATTGATCCCTTCCACTCAAATAGCAAAATTCACCACTAATAATAATGGCCCCTGTCTTTTAACCTACTATTTTACATTTCTCTGTACACTGACATAGAAATTCTGTACCCAAATTCTCTTCATGCAGAGATTAACACATTCTTTTGATACACATTCAAAATTACATAGACTACAGACCAAATAATTTATGAAGCACTGAAACGTTTCACATAGTTGTAGACATTATATAATTCTTCTCACTATCCCCAGAATACCTACTACATAGCATTATGGGTATAGAGTTGAATACGGAATAGTTTCCGTCCTGAAGGAAAACTGGCATGGTAAAGACAGGCAGTGAGCATCCCCGAGTCACAGACATCCAGCTGACATATGACTCGTACTTACAAACAGAGGCTATTACAGGTAAATGTCCTTGTTCCAACTTACATACAAATTCAACTTAAGAACAAACCCACAGAACCTATCTCATGCATAACCCAGGGAGTGCCTGTACAAAAAGCTATAATGATAATACTTTAGGTTTGCAAAATCAGAGAGCGTATATGAAAGAACAGAGACGTTTAAGAGTGGGGTGGGGTGTGGAGGAGTAGAACACAATTTCTAGAGATCACATCTGGTTTGAGTCCTAGGGAGGCATTAGAACTGGCCTAGTGAAGGGGAGAATGAGAAGGCGTCCGGAGCAAGCGTGGCCTGAGTGTGGAGAGAGGAAATTGTGCTGCACATGTGAGCGTTGCTGGAGTATGGAAGAGAAAGACGTGGAACAGAAGATCCGAAGCTTGGCCATTTCTGTAGAGATGTCTGGTTCTTATAAGCCAAGCAAAGGGTTGTGGAGCTCTCAGGAGAGTCTTTCCAGAAGATTTCGGCTCTTTATCACCACGTTGCACACACATTTGACAGCAGAGGAAAGAGACACTGAGTTGTTGACGGTGTACAGCAAGGCTGACTTGAGTAAGTGTTCAGCAGCTGCGACAAGATCCAGATTAAACAGCAGGTGCGCTGATGGAAGGATTCCTGTCCCCTGGTCTCCAGGGGCCTGCTTGTGCCGGGCACCAGGGTGAAGAGCGGGACAGTATTGTAGAGTGACTTCTGTGGGGTTTAGTGTCCCTTTCTTAGTAACATTGTGTCTTCCGGGCTTCTTCATGTACAGCAAGGCTCTGGGGTCTGGCCGCAGCCCAGGTGCCCCACCTTGCACACCAGATAGGACTTTGAAAAGAGGGAGAAGAAAGCCAGATGTGTGTCTCCCATCCTCAGGCTGCAGCAAGGACCAAGCCTTAGCCTCAGATTCCATACTTGTAAGGACAGCTTAAGTTTTCCAAGATCATAGAGAAATGGCAAAAAGGAAGGGAAGGCAGGTGCCACACTGAACGAGGCGTGAAGGAAGAGATGAGAAGTCCAGGGTAAAGGAAAATGATACCTGAGTGTGTCTGGTACAGGAAAAGCTCTTGCTTGGCGCTGATCAGCCATGCGCTCTTGTCAACCATGGACCTGCAAAAAAGGCAAAGCTGTGTTTTGGATGAAAACATCCTCTGGGATTACTTTTTTTTTTTTAATTAGCCACCTAAAAGGAAGATTGTGAACTAACCTCTATTGATCTTTAGAACAGTTGGGATACCAGCTGCCTTCGATAACTATACAAACGGAACAAAGTTCATGTTTTGATCCACAAAATTATTATGTGGGAATAACACCTGCTTCACAAAGCATTGGAAACATTAAATGAAAGTATGGCTGTGAAAGGGCCTGGTCCTGAGTTGGCCTATGGTCAGTACCACTGAGTATACATTAGCTTTATTCCTCCCACAGTGAAGCAGGTGGGGGGATCTCCATATTTTTACCTTTATATATACAGGTACTATGTCACTATCATCACAATGAAGTTAATATCAGCTTAATAATGCACTTTTTAAGGAAAACATTAGACAAATTATATAGTGGCGGGATAGAAGGTAAGGAATACAGAATCCTAATTTATCTCTCCAAAGCTTATTGAAGTTTGACCCCTTTCCAAGCTTGAAGAAGGTACATCCTGGATGGCACAGGGCATTCCTGAATCCACGCTCCTCATCATGAGACATGTGTGACAGTTTCAGATCTACAATACTTTTAGATTACTTAAGAAGCAATTCTCGAAATTCGGTACCATCACCCTACTGAAACACACTGCCTACAGATGTGTGCATAAGACACAATTATATTCATCCAAGGAAAAGAATGTGGTTTCCTTATACGATTCTGTTTGTGTGTGTGTGTTAGAAATTTTCCATTATAAAAGGAAAGTAAGCAAGATGGGAGAGAAACGATGTAAAACAAAGACAAATTTACCTACTTCTAGCCCCAGTTACTTACTTTCCCTTGTTAAATACTGAGAAACTAACATTCTGGGAGCCTGTAACATAAAGAAACAGACATTAATGCAGGAATCTGCAGGAATCTCCTGGGTCAAGCCACTGCTACCATAAATCCAAGGACTCTGGGTCATTATGAAAGTGTTAAGATACACAAAAATCACGAAATATAAAATCCGTGCAGACAGAAACAAATGAAGTCTTCCCAACAAAATCGATAAGCTGAGCAAGATGAAACTTGCACAGCTGAATCAGAAAGTACGCTGTCAACCCTGTTTCCTCGAAGTGAAATAATGGACCTTAACACGGTCCGTCTCAAAACTTTAATAGTGATCTACATATCATCAGGTTACTGCCCGAACCTGTGATTTTTTGATAGTGCCCAAAATAAATACCCCACAGGCTTAGTACAATTAGCAAAGTGGACTTGCCAGAATAAAAGGACAAATGTGGCATTGGGTAGCAGGTAAGAGTCAAGGCTTAGAGTGACACTGACATGATACGAACCCTGACCCATCAGTTCCCAGCTTCAGTTTGATCACCCATAATGTGATGTCACAGGCATGATGTGAAGATTAAATTAGTTTACAGATGAGCTGCTTTATATAATGTTTTTCAGGGAGTTCTCAAGTGGTAGTTATAATTATTATTCTCATGAGAACCAATTCTTGCAATTTTTTCTGGAAGACATGGATAAGACTAAAATCGGCTTGGCGCCTGTAGCTCAATGGTTAGGACACCAGCCACATGCACAAGGGCTGATGGGTTTGAACCTGACCTGTGCCTGCTAAAAACAAATAAACAAACAAAAATAGCCTGGTGTTGTGGCAGGCACCAGTAGTCCCAAGTATAAGGAGGCTGAGGCAAGAGAATTGCTTGAGCCCAAGAGTTTGAGGTTGCTGTGAGCTGTGACACCACAGCACTCTACCCAGGGCAACAAAGTGAGAGGCTGTCTCAAAAACAAAACAAAAAAGATTTTAAAATCACGTTACTCCTCTAACAGACCAATGTAGTTGCCTTCCACACAGCACTGCAGAGTCCCAAGGCCTCGGTCTTCCTGAATGGGATAGCTAAGGAGAGAACAAACCAGGGTGAGAATTGCCAGACAACTCAAAAGTTCTGACTCTAATCAGGAAAGTAAGAAATAAGAGAAATGTCAAATGAGTCAGAGAAAACAGTAGATGTGGAAGGTACAGTGAGCTCCTGGGGTAAATGCTTAGGGTAATCCTGGAGTTGCCACCAACACGTAGGCTACCAGCAAAACAGACAGTGTGAGAGACAAAATTTAACTTACTCCTAAATGCCATTGGGTCCTTTCTTTCCAAACTCTGTTCAATGACAAGCATAGCAAAACCCTTTACTCCTCTCCCCAAATATCTGTTATCAAATGTGAGCTCCAAACAAGACAATCCTGAGCAAATAAACCAAAGAAACCATGATGGAGAGTTTGACTCTACTACACACTACTCTCAAAAAGCTAAACTACAAAGTATATTCTTATACTGGCTTCAAAGAAAAGTTAATCCACCCAGTCCCAAGTGAAGTAAAAACTCCAGCAAAAAGTTGGTTATCTGAACTACAGCACAAAAACATTGTCCCCCCCTTTGGCTAGTTATTAAAGTATGGTGAATAAGTGCATGAACTCTGGGACTGGTTAGTCAGACAAAGTTCAAATCCCAGTTCTCCCAATTGCTCTTTGTGGACCTTTAGGAAAATACTTAATTTCCCTGGGCCTCAGTTTCCTAAACTGTAATATGAGACTAATAACCATACATATTTGCAAGATTATTAGATGACTTAAACCTAAGGTACTGGAATAGGTCTTGACCTATGTTAAGCCCAGGAAGTACTAGCTATTTGTTTTTAAAGCTATTTGTTTTAGAATCCACTTAAATATGCATTTTGAATCAATTCCTGTATCTTTTTCAGTAACTCTAAAGATAAAGCACTGATTTACATTAAAAAATAGATGTGTGCGTATGCACGTTTGTGTGTGTGTGTGAGAAAGAGAGAGAAAGTATGTGTGCATGTTTGTGAAGAACTTAAATTCATAGACATTTGCAAGAAAAGAAACTCACCGGCTTCCTGTCTGCCTGTTTACAAGAGAACAAGGAGTCACCCATTTGTCTTCCTGAGCTTCCAAGATCAATGGGCTAGATAAAAAAATTAAAACAAAAGACATGGATCACAGTGAAATTCCCTGACAAAACACAGAGAAAACCTAATCATGAAGGTTCCCTTCTAGATTTACTATGTACTGTTAGAGGTGGCTAAAGGTTGTGCCCTGGGGGATGTCAGGTCAAATTCTCAGCAAGAAAGAAGGGTGCCCATGGCCCATATTGTCACACTACAGAGGAAGCAATTTTTCCCCATAAAATCTTCATCATTTCCACACTGGCTATATTGGAGCTATACTCTAGGGGTGTCCAACCTTTCTTCTTATCTGCCACACATTGGAAAAAGGAGTTGTGTTGGGATACATATTTAATACATAAATACTAACACAAGCAGATGAGCAAAAAGAATGCCCATGCATAATTTTCCTGATATCCAACACCACAGATAAGCTAAACAGTCCTCACATAATCTGCATGAGGCGCGGAGGCCGCAGGTTGGGTACCCCTGGGCCTATGCAGAGTTATTGTGGAGTTTATGCCTTTATTCCCCCTTTTCAAAGCATAGGTCCCAGACCAATGCTGAGATGGATCTAAGTAGTAAATATGGCATACTGTCAAGGATATACTTGGGGTTTCTATCTTCCACACAAAGAGTAATTTTCTTTTAAGACAAATTGGCATTACTTAAGGTCAGAAATGTAGATCCTGAGAGTAATCAAATCAAATCACAAGTTACAATTACATTAACAGAGTTTGCTGATAAATAGGGCAGAATCAGAGAGATGGAGCAGAAGAGAACCACTGACCCAGCCATGCAGGAGTGAAGGAAAAATCAACCACAGCATGGAGAAGCTTTGCAGCTGAGCATATAGTGAGATTATGTTCCCTCTACAAATCCTCAGTATAATTGTTTCATTTGTTGAATAATCACAGTAGCTTAGAGATTTCCACAAACTCCACAGTTTCAGTACTTTCCATCTTATTCTCCTCTCGCCCAACTATAGATGATTTACTAGTGATGCTTTCCACTTAACAAGTCTCCAGTGAAGAAAGCCATGCTGACATCCTAATTATCCCCAGGAAACATTAAAAGCTCGATGGCTTTTAGTACCTGTATCCACGTTTTCCTCTGATCCCACTAATAGAATTTCTAAAATGCACAAATGGATAACAACCAAGCAGGAAAGTCATAATGGGCTTTGGGGTTTACGTGTTATTTTATAAAGAGTTTATTTCAGCCTGAGAAATAAGAGGAGGAAGGGTAAGAATTGAAAAGGAAAATCTGCAGACGTGATTACAGTACATTTCACACTGAGCCCAGAGTGACTAGTTGTCAGTAAATAAATGGACCAACTTAATCGACCAGTTGCAATTACATTAACAAAGTTTGCTGAAGCCCAGCTCACCAGGGACCATAAACTGCGAAGAGAAACATAGCAATTCTGTGCCAACTGCTTACAATTTATTGCTACCAGGGAAGCTAATCCCGGGAAGCCTGCTGGCCTATTCATACCTAGAAATGAACACATGCTTACCTATCAATGTACTCAGCGTCAACATCGAAGGTTTCTAATTTCCCAGTGATAATCCAGCCATGCACATGTATTAGTTCTCCTGTTTTAAGAAGAATTTTTAAAATTTAATGTAACGTAACTCAAAGAAATGGTTTCTTTTTGCTTGTGTATTCCCAGTATGGCAAAGGTTGTCCTGACCCAGAAAATTAACACTTCTTAAAAAACTGTACAATAGCAAGGTCAGCAGTGTGATGAAGTCATCAAGATTACACCATCAAAAGGCTAAAATAACCAATGGTTTCAATCATGGACTTAATTGTCTATGCATAGAGCATAGAAGGAAGAATAGGTCTTCTTGACAGTCTAATAAAGCAAGAGGATTCCAGGAAGAGGGGCCAGTTTCTATACACTGCCCAGTTCCGTTCTACTGGCTCTGTGTAGACCCCTCACCCATGTGGGATTTGAGAACAATGTGCCTTGGGGTGCTCCACACTCCAGACTTTCCTCCGGAAGCTTGCTAAAATGAACATGTGATATGAAGCATGATCTGCTTGCCTCAGGGATCCTGAACTCTTTTCCACATCTCAAAGTACAAAAAATAAAAATCACAAATGACCCAAATGGATAGGAACTAAACAAGGACATAACACAGCAGGAGAGTTACAGGCCAAAGGATGGACAATTGGCACATCTTACTCATTTAACAAACACACTTGTGTTCAAATATAGGACAAACTGGGAATCTGCACAGAGCTAGTGTCTGCCTTACCCACTGATATATAACCACATCTACCCCTGGGTCTTCTCTCTGTACTGGTCCATGGCCTGTTAGGAACAGGGCCTCATAGTAGGAGGGAAGTGGCAGGTGAACAGCCAAGTTCATCTCTATTTATAGCCACTCCCCATTGATTGCATCACTACCTAAGCTCTGCCTCCCATCAGATCAGGAACAGCATTAGATTCTCATAAGACTGCAAACCCTACTGTAAACCTCGAGTGTGAGGGATCTAGGTTGCATGCAATAATCTAATACCTGATGATCTGAGGTGGAACCGAGGTGGTGAAGCTAATGCTAGGACTGTCTAGTTAAAAACAAGCTCAGGGCTCCCACTGATTCTACATTACGGTGAATTGTATAATTATTTCACTGTATATTACAATGTAATAATAATAGAAATAAAGTGCACTTCAATCATCTTTAAGCCATCCCCCCTCCTGCCACCCAATCCATAGGAAAATTGTCTTCCATGATGCCAGAAGGTTGCAACCGCAGTTCTATGTGACTTCCAGGGATTTCCATTGGGTGGAAAGTTTCTCTTTAATATACTCTAACAAGAATGGGATTGCAATTTCTTAAACTGATAGAGGCCTTCTACAGCAAACCCACAGTCAATATTATATTGAATGGAGTCAAGTTGAAATCATTTCCACTCAGATCAGGAATGAGGCAAGGTTGCCCATTGTCTCCATTGCTTTTTACCATTGTAATGGAAGTCTTAGCCACCACAATCAGGCAAGGAAAAGTGATCAAGGGTATCCATATAGGGTCAAAGAGATCAAACTTTCACTCTTCACAGATGACATGATTGCATATCCTGATTGCACCAGGAAATCTACTACAAAACTCTTAGAAGTGATCAAGGAATATAGCAGCATCTCAGGTTACAAAATCAGCACTTGTAAATCTGTAGCCTTTATATATACCAACAATAGTCAAGCTGAAAAAAAAAACAGTCAAGAACACTATTCCGTTCACCGTAGTGCCAAAGAAGATGAAATATTTGAGAGTTTACCTAAAAAAGGATGTGAAAGATCTTTATAAAGAAAACTATGAAACTCTAAGAAAAGAAATAGCTGAAGATGTTAACAAATGGAAAAACATACCATGCTCATGGCTGGGAAGAACTGACATTGTTAAAATGTTCCTACTATCCAAAGCAATATACAATTTTAATGCAATCCCTGTTAAAGCTCCACTATCATACTTTAAAGATCTCAAAAAAATAATACTTCATTTTATATGGAATCAGAAAAAAACTCGAATAGCCAAGACATTACTCAGAAATAAAAACAAAGCAGGAGGAATTATGCTACCAGACCTCAGACTGTACTATAAATCAATAGTGATCAAAAAAGCATGGTACTGGCACAAAAACAGAGAGGTAGATATATGGAACAGAATAGAAAACCAAGAGATGAACCCAGCTACTTGCCATTATTTGATCTTTGACAAGCCAATTAAAAACACTCAGTGGGGAAAAGATTCCCTATTTAACAAATGGTGCTGGGTGAACTGGCTGGTGACCTGTAGAAGACTGAAACTGGACCCATACCTCTCACCATTAACTAAGATAGACTTAGACATGAACTATAAAATATAAGACATGAAATATAAACTATAAAATATAAAACTTAAGACATGAAACTATAAAAATACTAGAAGAAAGTGCAGAGAAAACTCTTGAAGAAAAAAAAAAACTCTCGAAGAAATTGACCTTGGTGAATATTTTATGAGGAGGACCCCCTCCCCCCAGCAATTGAAGCAACATCAAAAATATACTACTGGGACCTGATCAAACTGAAAAGCTTCTGCACAGGCAAGAACACAGTAAGTAAAGCAAGCAGGCAGCCCTCAGAATAGGAGAAGATATTTGCAGGTTATGTCTCCGACAAAGGTTTAATAACCAGAATCCACAGAGAACTCAAACATATTAGCAAGAAAAGAATAAGTGATCCCATCTCAGGGTGGGCAAGGGAATTGAAGAGATACTTCTCTGAAGAAGACAGGTGCATGGCCTACAAACACATGAAAAAATGCTCATCATCCTTAATCATCAGAGAAATGCAAATCAAAATGACTTTGAGATATCATCTAACTCCAATAAGATTAGCCCACATCACAAAATCCCAGAACCAGAGATGTTGGTGTGGATGTGGAGGAAAGGGAACACTTCTACATTGCTGGTGGGAATGCAAACTAATACGTTCCTTTTGGAAAGATGTTTGAGAACACTTAGAGATCTAAAAATAGACCTGCCATTCAATCCTACAATTTCTCTACTAGGTATATATCCAGAAGACCAAAATCACATTATAACAAAGATATTTGTACCAGTATGTTTATTGCAGCCCAATTCATAATTGCTATGTCATGGAAGAAGCCCAAGTGCCCATCGACCCATGAATGGATCAACAAATTGTGGTATATGTACACCATGGAATATTATGCAGCCTTAAAGAAAGATGGAGACTTTACCTCCTACATGTTTACATGGATAGAGCTGGAATATATTCTTCTTAGCAAAGTGTCTCAAGAATGGAAGAAAAAGTATCCAATGTACTCAGCCTTACTATGAAACCAATTTATAACTTTCTTGTGAAAGCTATACCCAATTATAGCCCAAGAAGAAAAGGGAAGGAAGAAGAGGGGGAGGATGGTTGAAGGGAGAGTAATTGGTGGCACCACATCTACAGTGCATCTTACAAGGATACATGTGAAATTTACCAGGTGTAGAATATAAATGTCTGAACACAATAACTAAGAAAATGCCATGAAGGCTATGTGAATCAGTTTGATGAAAATATTTCAAATTGTAATAAAACCAGCACATTGCACCCCATGATTTCATTAATATATACAGCTATGATTTAATTTAAAAAAGAACAGGATTGCAGGCCTTGGCAGCTGCCTGTCAGCAAGGTGCACCCTCCATGCCACACCCACATCCACTGCCCACAGGAGTTGGGACAGGCATCTAAAGGAGCCCCCATCTCAGAGTTTGGGAGTCCCTACCAAATGCCGCATGAGCTAGTAACTTCTATATTTGAAAAGCACCTAGACTCAGTCCTGCGGAACTGCACAAGACAAAGTTTCAAGCAAACACAACACAGCAAGGTGATGTAGTTAAAATTTACCACCAAATCCCACAACTATTTGGAAACATGTGCCTCGCAAATAACTGAAGAATTTGTTCATCGATACTGTGATCAGCTACTACCACAGACAATGTGTAGAGATGAGAGAGGTGTTGGTTACTGAAGGAAAACCTCAAAAAATGGGAGAGGAATGGGCACTGATAGGGCTCCTGAGGTCGCTGGATATAGAAAAATTGAGTCTTTTCACAGACACTTGAGGCCACAAAGAGCACTAACAGTAAGTTGATTGTGTTGTAGTACAAAGAACTGACTTTCCTCTGCAGCCAAAGGATGACTTGCACTAAAACAATAAGAAGCTTTCAGGAGGTATGCAGCCACTTACAGGTGGCTGGGTAGAAAGAATGGAAACTAACAATTTAGACAAAAGTCATAGTGTTGGCAGGAGCCTGGAGTCTCAATTCCTCCGTTACTGCTAAAAATGGGAAAAATAATTCTTTCTAACTTTAGTAGAACTAAAGAATCAACTCCCTAGCTTCCATGAGCATGTCATGCCTTCTGGCTTTGGTAGGCACAGTTTTACAGAAAGTAGGAATTCAAGTGAGTTTTCTTTGGTTTCTAAACAGACAGCCAACCAAGGCTGACACATGGCCAAGCCAGATCATGGTGTTAGAAGAATCTGCGTCATGGTGAAGGACTGTTAACCACATATAGAAACCCAACAACTCTCTCCTGTCCCCACCACCTCCTCCATTTCCCCGGCTGCTATTCTGGGCAGCCTTCCCAAACGAAAGGAGAGTAGTCATCCGGGAAGTGATTGCAAAGATGCAGCCGTGTTGCTCCTGCCTGGAGGGACCACTCCAACCAGGCCAGCCACCAGTATTTCCCCCAGAAGGTGGAGGTGACAGCATGCAGAACTCTAACTCAGTGGACAGAGATGGCCTTGGCAGAGCTGGGTGGGTGAAATACACTTCCACCACCGGGATCTTCCTCACCCCTCACTCTAACAAGACTTCTGCCATCTAAACAGGAGCCTTCTAACACCAGAGTAGCAGGGACCCAAATGTTTACATAGGATTTTCACAGACCACATCTCTTTTTAATAAAACATTATCATGTCATCATGATTCGGACAAATGGGAAGGAACAAATCCATGAAAAATCCACTGAGAAAGATAATACCAAATGCATATGCTTAGGATATAATTTAAACACACATACACATAATTGGTATCTATACACATAAACGCAGAAATGTGCACTTAGTCAATAACTTATTCATTTTGACATTCTTGACTAGTCAAGCCAATCAGAACTAGATCAGTTTATATATGCAAATACAGTCACGCCTAAAACCTTAGCAACTTGTGTTCCCATACTTAACATCATACTGGAAGCCCTGAACAAATGAAAAACCTGAATTAAAAGTAGGAGTTTGCCAAGAATCGACAGCAAATCACATATAATCCTAATTGTGTTTACTACTTAGTTTTAAAAAGACTTGAAAATTCCTAAATCTATTTCTTCATTGCAATCCCTTCTTTTATGTAAATCCCCCAGCTTTACATAATCTTCTCCCCATGCCCGTGGTCTTTCTACTTCTATGCACTCTCTAACTCATAAACAAATCCCCGAGATGAAGGCCAGGTTATGACTTTCCAAGTGGCATCCAACACTACTCTACACAATACAAAACAGGGATTTATGGGTCCTTCTGAATTCTAACTGGGTTCAAAAATCACCTGCACCATTCATTAGCTATATGACTTTAGGCAAATTATTTAACCTTTTGCTACTTCATTTCTTCATCTGCAAAATGGAATTATAAGAGCTCTGAAGTTATCAGGTTTGGGTGAGGGTCTAATAAGATACGTGAAAAGCTGAGAATGGAGCCTGGCACACAGTAAGAGTTTAACAGTGTTTTCTTATTACGGGAATGGTTATAAAGTTACGAGCAATGATAATTTCTATTTCCTCCAGTCTCCAGAATCAAGGCGTCTGATTTTGCTGCCCTCTTTTGCTTTCTGCCTTTGGATTCTTTTTGTTATCAGTGAAGTAATATAGCAAAAGTGCCCAGAGGTGAAACCAAACCAGGTTAAAAATGAACCAACAGTTGACACTCATTTTCAAAATAGCATCAGAGAAAGAGTTTAAATTTTCCCACTTGGAGAGTCCACCCACCTAAGTAGAAGAGTTTGCAATAAGCTTTGGCAAAAAGATTCACAAGTATTCCTATTTTAATACAAGATTTCTTACCTGGAACTCCACTTGATGGATGAACTTGGTAAACAACGGGTGTCTGGGCCTTGGAAAACTGTTTTGAAAATATGATCGGAAGAGAGCATTTCATTAGAATTCCTACAAATGCAAGCACTGCAAACCACTCCTCACAAAGCAAGGAGCATTAGTCTACTGCAGAAAATGGTTGCCCTCTTCCAGTCATCTTCACACCTACTTCTTTTTATCGTCATGTTTCTGTGAAGCACATCTGTCAGATGTTGTTGCATTCCTCCTATGGATGAGTTAAAGGGAATTTGATCAAGGTCACGCAGTTCTCTCTCTGCACCGTATTATCCAAACCTTAGCCAGCCTGTTTCTTCTCTCTGCCCACCAGCCCTACCCAAGGCCACATTTTACCAGAAGGGAAGGAAGGTAAGTAGACCACAATTCAGAATGTCAGTTTTTTAATTCCATCACTGTAATTTGATGTCTTTGGGCCTTATGATTTTTTTTCTAGAGAAAAATTAATTGATTCAATTGGAAGGATTGTAACTTAAATCATTATCAGCCAGCATCTTGGTGGGGATTAGCAAATCCCCATTACAAAATATGGGAAGTTAGATAAGCACTTGGAGAAATGGAAGGTGCTTTGTTGGGAGGGAAATGATTCAAGAGACTCACATCATGGCAAGCAACATTGTTCTTTAAGAAGGTGAAACATGGTGTTGATGGGAGAAGTTGGGGGGCCTGTGAAAGCCTAGTCATGGCTCTCCAAATCATCTTACAATGCCCGCTTTCTGCAAATCACATCAATCTTCTATCATCTGCCAACCACAGCTCCATAAAGGCAGAGACTGCCTGACTCAGTCACTGTTGTGTCCCTATGTCTAGCCTGGTGTGTAGAAGACATTCAAATTTTTGTGAATGGATGGAGTTGCCTGATCCGGGATGACTGATGTGCTTCCTGGCTGGAAGGAGGACAGGGACACAGATTATCCCAGGAATCCCATCTCACCTAAAGGCATCTGGGTTAGTCTAAGGTTAGTGCATTACTTCATCAGGAAACCACACTGGGGCCAGTGTGAATAGACAGCGAAGTGTAAGGATAGACTGAGCAATGAGGCAATGACTCACCCAGGAGAACACCTAATTCCACCTCCCATCACCTCAGCCCCAACCTCCTCCGATGCCGAGACTGCCCACATTCCATACAACCTACAGTGGTTCCCTTTTGCAAAACAAATCAGAGAAGATTGTTTTATTTGGTCTGCTTCCAGCACCCTGGGAGTCCACTTTCCCAGGGAGACTATCACCAAAGAATAACTCCATTGTTAATCAACAGCCCTAATCAGCCATTGAGAACCAACAGTCTTTTCTGTTGGGAACCCATAGACAAAGCTGGTGGTGGCTTATCACGTGTGGGTTTTAAGTATTAATCTGCAGGGCTGGATGTACAGTCTACCATCAAAGCCAATTTCCTCACTTTCTAAAGGAAAACTTAGAAAACAATTGACAGAAAATATGTACAGTCAGAGGGGTCAAAATAAGAATGCTGTGACTTCCTAAGTTGGGAGCTGGCTCTGTTCTTGCCAATAGATAAAGATTAAGGCAGTTCTACACACACCTGCCAAACATTCCATTCCCCTCAGCCTCCCCACAACCCCTGCCCCAGGCCTCCACCTCCCGCTGAGACAGCTTTTACACCCTTGTCATATCCATGGAACTATAGCACAGGAGTCCAGGCAAGCAGAGCCCAGCTTAGGGCCCCATCTCACATGTTAGAAACTGAGGGAGATGGAGCAACCATATTTAAACCAAATGAGGAGGCATACATCTCAATTTCCAACTTGAAATGTAACATCTACCCTTTGGTCTGTAATCAATCCTTCTACTAGAAGTTCATGGGAAATATAGCAATTCCTCAGAGAGCGGTGGGGCAGGCTCAGGCTTAAACCTCAAAAAAGGACTTCACTTGTGATTCTCTCTCGAGCTGACACAACATAAAATGGTACATTTCTAAGAGAAACAGGCCCCTGGTCACCCACCAGGCTAGAGACAAGACAAAGTGAAAAAGTAATGAGCTTCCAAATCAAGCTTCCCGCATGCTGATCCTTGAGCTCAAGGAAGGTCAACAGAGGCAAGACGGGGAAGAGGGAACGCAGCGGATTAGAACGAGAAAGCCACAGCCCCCAGCTGCGGGATAAACCTTCTGTGAGTTGTTCAAACTAGTCAGTGCCCACAGCAGGCTCTTTGGAGTGGACTGGAAAGATGGGATTAATTTTTAATACTTGTGGCTCCCCCCGTCTCAGGCCCCAAACAAAGAGACACACCGCGTTTTCATTCAGCTCGGAAGGCCTCTCATTAACCAAGTCCCCTGGTGATTTTTCATCAACTGGCCAAGACAGAAAAACCACTGACAGACTTGTTTTCTTTAATGTGCAGTCTTAGGAAGTGTTTCTCTTCTTTCCGCCCTCTCTCCTTACCAATCTTTTAATAAGAAGGAAAACTACTATCTGGGCTGAGAGGCGCCTGGTGATTAAGAAGCATGCTAAGCTGTCTCTCTTCTGCTGGATTCCCTGAGACGGTGTGGAGGTGGTGGGGCAGCTTTCAAGAAGAAAGGACGATATAATTACTTTTTCTGTAGACTGCATATGTACAGAAGCAAAATTCTCGAAAACAAGTTTCTCTTGAACTAAGGAACAAGTTATTAACTGTGAATTGACAGCAAATTCCAAATTTCAAAAACAAATAGCATATATGAAATGTGGATGATATTAGACTTGGGTGCAGAGGGTGAAGTCGTAATCTAAGGGAGCATTAATTGTCAACTGAATTGTACTCTATGGGACAGCTCCTCCACAGAGGCACCTGTGGGAAGTACAATCACATCAGTGGGAGCGTCGCCAAACCTCGGCCTTATGTGACCCCTTTCAGAGATCGTTTTAGTGTAAAAGTAATCCGAGAGGGATAGGAGATGGAACCAAACATAAAGTGAAGCCCCAGTATAGAAATTCAGGCTGTAAAATAAGTCAAGTATTGGCTTCCTATCCTCTCTCTCTCCTTTTAGATCTGGGAATTCCACCAGCAAATGTGATGTCTGTTCGGTGCTGGAAAGAGTCGCAGCAATCTACTCTAAGGCAGACGGAGAGACAGAAGTTAGGTCCCTGAGTTCCTTCATCACCCTGATACACAGCACGAGCTTAGCTGTAAAATAAAATTACTAGAACACAAAGCCAAGCTCTGTGGCTCTTCTATGGGCTTCAGTTTAGATGAGAATTTAGAAGCAGATACGGGTTCGAACCCTGGTTCTGCCATTTACTACCTGGACGACATGGACAACTCAACTTAATCTCCTTGAGCCTCCAATTGCCCATCAGTAAAAAAAAAGTAATAAACAGCTACCCCCATAAAACTGCTGTGAACATTAAATTAGACAGTGTACATAAAGTACTAGGCCAGAGCCTGCTGTGTTCAAGACTGTGTTTCACTACCAGAGTCGAAGGAACTATCACTACCAGCCACCTTTCTCCTCACCCCGTGAGGCTCTCAGATTGACTTATAACTCGCCTTTCGAGAACACCAGCCCACCCTCAGACTATGCAAATACACATTCTTCCATCCCAAGCACCCACCTTAAAAGTACAGCTGTCTTGTGCTCCTGAACTCGGGCTGCCTACCGCCTGTCCCCCAAAGTACACTTCCAGGGAGTACAGACCCTCGTGGGCTCCAGAAGGCAGAGATCTGAGGGCAGAAAGTGGAAACTCTCAGGAATCAAAACCCATGAATTTCCAAAGCTAGAAGCCAATTTGACCCCTTCAAATTTCTTCCCTGCACTTGTGAAACACGACTAGTCAAGGAGTCCTGTATTTCACCTTTCACCTCCTAGATCTGCTCATAATTACTAGACTTTAAAGATTAGCTCTTCAGCAAAAGAAGTTAGGACTTTTTGTTGTTGGTAAAAGTCCCTGAAATATGTTTTTGTGGACTATCCTCCATAAAACCTGAAAAATTTTTTAATCTGTCCTTTTTCTCAGAATCAGAAGTTCATAGTACTTCAAAAATTGGAAAGGATCAGGCTTGGTCACTCACACAAATAATCCCAGCACTTCCAGCACTTTAGAAGGCTGAGTGAGGTAGAAGGATTGCTTGAGGCCAGGAATTTGAGACCAGCCTGGACAACAGAGTAAGACATTGTCTCTTCAAAAAATAAAAAAATTGCCCAGGTGTGGTGGTGTGTACCTACAGTCTCAGCAACACAGGAGCCCAAGGGCAAGGAATTGCTTGAGCCTGGGAATTCAAGATTACAGTGAGCTATGATCATGCCACTGTACTCCAACCTGGATTGACAGAGTGAGACCCTACCTCTAAAGAATGTTGATATATAATCTATTCTCAGTTTCCATTTTTAAAAAATGATAGTTCCGGGTAGATTAAGATATTTATGTGTATAAGTACCAAAAGTTAAGGGCAAAGTAGGTCTTGAATTCTGAGGTCTTTCTGATAAAAGATATCAATGTAAAACTTCTTGACTTTATAATCATCCAAGCAACCCATAGATATCTCAAATATCCATCAAGACATAGAATCCTGGGCACTGTCTTATCTTTTTCTGAATATCACAGTGGCTTCTTTGCCACTTGAGGCTGTCATCCATGTTGATTTTAGTAAAAGGAGAATATGATGAATAAGAGAGAAGCTAGATGGAAGAAGTGCTTCCTCTCCAAGTGTTACCAACAAAATATTTGGTATGATCTTGAGCATTTAAATCTGAATTGTCCGTTGTGTTAGTCACTAGCCTGATGTGCTCCTTGAAATGTGGGCAGTCCCAATTAAGATACCCTATGATTGTAACATACACAGTGGGTTTTGAAGACTTGGTATTAAAAATAAGGATACAAAATATTTCATTAATAATTTATGTAGATTACATATTAAAATAGTATTTGGGATACATTGGGTTAAATAAAATATATTTTTAAAATTAATTTCAGTTCTTTTGAATTTCACTTATTTCTGTGTTGTTGTTGTTGTTGTTATTTTTAATTTTTTTTTTTTTTTTTTTGAGACAGAGTCTCAGTATGTCGCCCTCGGTAGAGTGCTTTGGCGGCACAATTCACAGCAACCTCAAACTCTGTGGCTTAAGTGATTGTCTTGCCTCAACCTCCCAGGTAACTGGAACTGCAGGCACCCACCACAACGACCAGCTATTTTTAGTTGTTGAGGTTGTGATTGTCGTTTAGCAGGCCTGGACCGGGTTTGAATCCACCAGCCTTGGTATATGTGGCCAGCGCCATAACCACTGTGCTACGTGTGCCAAGCCACTTATTTCTTTCTTGATTCAAAAATGTGGCTACTAGAAAATTTTACACCTATAATCACATTATATTTTGCTTGACAGTGCTGATTTTGAAATTTAGTATGAGGCAACTAAATTGTTTTGGAGAAAGCAATTATGTCTTTTCATGATATTGAGTATGAACAGCATTTCATTGATGATAAAGTGTACATATTTTTACACTTGAATATTAATTGAACTTGATATTCAGCTTCCAATTGATGAGGATAACATTTCTACTTTTTTGAAAAAGATGACATAAAATCAGTGGTATAGGCTTGGCACCTGTGGCTCAAGTGGCTAAGGCGCTAGCCACATACACCTAAGGTGGTGGGTTCAAATCCATCCTGGGCCCGCCAAACAACAATGACAGCTGCAAACAAAAAATAGCCCGGTGTTGTGGTGGGTGCCTGTGGTCCCAGCTACTTGGGAGGCTGTGGCAGGAGACTCGCTTGAGCCCAGGAGTTGGAGGTTGCTGTGAGCTATGATGCCACAGCACTCTACTCAGGGGGATAGCTTGAGGCTCTGTCTCAAAAAAAAAAAAAAAATCAGTGGTGTATCCTAAAGTCGTTAGTATGTAAGGATTAAGGAGACAGCACATACAAATCTTGGAAGCTTTGACTTATGTCATGGCAAGCCCTTGCAGAAAGTCTATGTCCAAATATACCATGAAAGCTAAAGAAAATATGTCACCCAGTTTTAAAACCAGTAGTGCTATGAGGAGGTTCAGTGCATTTGTTGAGCATCTTTTACTCATACTGGATTGCACTATACACCATGAAGACTACAGCGCTGAGATTTAACACACCCTCCGTCCTCAAATCGCTTGCCTCTGAGGATGAATCTGACAAGTGGGCAGCTGACATAAGAAATTTAGTATGAGGCAACAGGGTGACTAAGGCTACACCTGCTGTGTCTTTGTGTAAATTACAAAAAGGTCTCCTTTCAAGGTGATAAATTGCACAACAAAGTGTGGTGTCCACACGCACCCTGTGGATGCGCCACTAAAAGGTGTTCCTTCTCTCTCTTTCGAAGAAGGGAAAGATTACACTCAGTTGGACACAGGGAAGAGACGGCAGTTGTGATATGGTTGGTGAGTTTCAATACACAAAAGTGGGAAAAGGACACTCTTTCTGAAGAGGGAACAGAAAAGGAACGGTACTTTTTTCTCTTAATCAATGATCCACTTTTATGCAGTTTGTCTAAGACACAAGTAAAGAAAGGATGAACTGATGTAAACTTCGTAGGCTAACAAAAACTTGAGTAGAATAACAGATTACATGGACTCCTGTAAAAATGCTTCCTGCATAGAGATAATATCAAACCCAACCACAAACTGAGCCTAAAGAAGATTTCCCTTCTAACTGGTTTTGGGTTTATGCACAAACATTACAATTATGCTTAGCCCAAATGATCAATAATTTTAAAGGCAAAATGTCACCATTTATTAAAATCTTAATAGCCACAAAACTCCTTGCAAAAAAAAAAAAAAAGGAAACATAATCCAACCCTTCCTTCTGAATATCTCAAAATTATTTCCTGTGCTCTCATCTCACCTTATGCCCTAAACCCCAAATAGAGACCTTTTACGAAGTATATTCATGTAGAACATTTTTTAAAAACTATAGCTGGTTAATTGCAGCCACAGCAGGAGTTGTTCTAATACGTCCCCCAAAGCTACTGAGATAAGCAAAAGCCCACTTCCTGTCTGGTCTTCCTATTTCTAGACAAGTGTACCTGGTCCGGCATGTCACCACAGGCAAATCCAAAAACACGGGAAAGACATCACAGGGGATACTAGGCAGTGCAGGCATGGCCACGTTCATGTTCACCAGGTGTATTTCCATTTGAGAGCCATCGGTGGGGTAAAGGACACCCAATCCCAGACCTAAACATAAAAAGGAAAGGGGAAATCTCAGGCTGGGCAGAATTGTACCCCTCACAAAGTAATACAAAAATGCAGCCACATGGGGGCAGTGTAAGACATTGAATTTACCCAAGGATTAAATTAATAGTCATTTTCCTAGTAATTGCTGTATAAAGGAGTTTTCTCATTTATGAGCTTATAAAACAGTCTTCTGTCTTCAGGTCCACCTAAACGTAAAAAAGAAATATACTCCTTACTGGGCTAGAGTTGGGTATGATAAGCGCAGATTAGGAGCCCCAAGTATTTAAGTATAGAACAAGGAAGATCCCAGGGGACACATTACCAAGTACTATGCTATACACTGCCTTGTCATCTCACTTAGGGTTCCCAGAATCCCATTCCATAGCTTGGGACAACAAAGTGGACACAGATGTGTAGTGTGTGACATGCTCTGCCTCTGTGACATTAGCAAGGGAGCTTCTGCAAAGACAGAAGATGGTCATTCTGTCCATCTCCCAACAGGCCCCTTTTCACATCTGTCCTTAGACAAAGAAGAAAACCAAACACACATATTCTTTACGACGGTGAGTCAATAAGAGAAACTTTCAGTTGGTAAAATCAAACCTACCATCAAGAATGACTGTGATCCACGTTCCCCCAGCAAGACTGCCTTCTCCAGGTTCAATACGTAAACTCAGGTAAGGTACTGTGAAAAGTGACAAAAACACTTTTTTTGAGGGTTAGATTTCAATCCACTAGTTTCTCCAATATTTTAAGCCAAAATTTAGCATGCATCAGAATCACCAGAAGAGCTTGAGGAAACGCAGACCACCGGGCCACACTCAGAGTTCCCAGTTCAGTAGGCCTGAGGAGGGACCCAAGAATTTACATTGCTAACAGTGCTGCTGGTCCTGGGAACACATTCTCAGAACCCCTATTTTTTGTTGCTTTCTTGTGGAGGGCTGTTTGTTTTTATTTGAAAATAATAAAAGATACACAAGTTTTTGTTACATTGATGCCTGTGTAATGCTTAGGTCAGTGCTTTGGGTGTGCCCACCCCATTGTAAGGAAAATTATGACTGATTCTTCTCATCTTGGATGTTCTAAAACCTGATGTTCACATGGATGGAGCTGAAACATTCTTCTTAGCAAAGTATCTCAAGAATGGAAGAAAAAGTATCCAATGCACTCTACTATGAAACCAATTTATAGCTTTCATATGAAAGCTATAACCCAACTATAGCCCAAGAATATGGGGAAAGGGGAGAGGGAGGGGTGGGGAAGGGAGAGGATGGGTGGAAGGAGGGTAATTGGTGGGAACACAACTACGGTACATTTTACAAGGGTACATGTTAAATTTACTAAGTGTAGAGTATAAATGTCTTAACGCAGTAACTAAGAAATGCAGTGAAGGCATGTTAACCAATATTTGAAATGGTATATAAAACCAGCACACTGGACCCCATAATTGCATTAATATACACAGCTATGATTTAATTAAAAAAAAAAAACAGTGTTCATCAAATCAACCCTATATTTCTACTTCCTTTGGAAAGAGCCTCAGGGACACACTAATATTTCTCTATCCTCTTTTCCATTCTCTAATCAGGTGGCCACATTGAACTATCGAGACCATCATTTATTCCCCCTCCTGGAGAGGAGAGACTTCTAGAAGCTGTTCGTATTTCAGTCTCCTACTGAGTACACTAGTTTCCCCTCATGGTCAGAATGGCCTCAGATACAAATAGATGCAAATTCCCTAGATTTTTGCTTTGTCTGCTTAGAGAAGGGCTGAAGCATGAATCATTACTGGAATTTCCCTTAAAAAAAAAAAAAAAACAGTCTGGAATTCACATGCTAGGCTAGATCGGGTTTGCCCACATAGACCATCAGCTGGCATGATCTTACAGCCCTCCATCTCTGGAGATGTTCCTGGATATGCCCTGATGGCAGTCAAGCTAGTTCAGGGAAGCCAGCAAACATCAGCCAGCTCCTTAGTGAGGTCATGAGCAAGGAAATTGCCATCTACAGAGCACTTTACAGTTTCCACATCAGAAACTGTGGCCAGCCCAGGTATTCCACGTGCAGTGATGGATGTGGTGGACAGTATACCCGAGGGTGCTAGGGAGCTGTTCATATTCACATAACTACAGCCCTAGCCAGACTAGACCATCCTTACCCCTTAAAAAGTCAAAACTTTTAGCTAAAGAAGACCAAAAGCAAATGTCATGAAAAGATACAGAGGATAATCGAATTCATGGAGAAAATTGGAGACACAATCTGAAAAAAGGGCATTTTAACTCAGAAGTCATTAATCACTAAGACAAGTTCCTCCCTTCCAAGGCAGAGCAGTAAAATCTAAAAAGAATTACATCCTATAGCCCAAAAGGGAATTATAAAAGAAAGCTTCTAAGTTATATATTAAAAGCTCTGAACTAAAACAGCAACCTCCACTGGCCCCTGAAAATTGAAGGATATGGTCACAACAATTTAGGGTAGAACCTCAGCTGTTAGGAAAAAAAAAATATTAAACGGAAAATTTAAGCCCCAAAAAAGACACTTCAACATCTCCTAAAATAATATTTTAAATTCGATTCTTCAATTGATAAGTAAAAATTGTGACTATTTATGGTATACAACCAAAATAATATTGTAAATATCAGTAATGGTTGTCAATATAATCTAATCGTGTTCTTGTCTAGACTCTGTTCAAAAACACATTCTACTTACCTGCTAAAAGTAGAACTTGAATACTCGTCAGAGAGATCAGCCAGATGGTCATGGTTGGACACTTCAATCAATCCTCTTAAGGTTGCTCAGAAGTTAAAAGCATTTTCAGCTTTGATTGGAGCAACATAGCTTTTGTGCTTTATAAAAAGCAAAGTGAAAAATTACTATCATTTTTGCTTCTCTATGTTTGCTGTACTGAAACTTGGGAAATTAAGAAGATACCATATAAATATAGCCCTAACATCTTCACCACGGTGAATTAAAGACCCACCATCTTTTCAAGCTCAGGGGTAAAGGATTACCTACCAATCTTACATAAAGTCACCACCACGCCACCTCCACCTTGTCCATGTTTATTTCATGCATGTTTGGGTCAGATAAGTGACACCCTCTTTCACTAACTCGGTATTGAACAAAAACTGAATTTTTAAAAATAAATTCCAGATATTAAGTACTAGTAAATGGTAGGGTGGAGGGTCTCTTTTGGATTGCCCTGTCCTGCTGTTCCAGCTTTCCCTCAAGCCGCTCTCCATCTGACCCCTACACTGCAGCCCTGCTGTTCCCTCAGACAAGCCCCCACACATCAGCCTCGGCCTCTGCTCATCCCTCCCTATATTCTCTGAACTCACTTGGTAGCCTCATGAGATCCCAACCCTCCTTCATACCCCTACTCAGGAGCCACCCCCAACTCCTTCCTCAGCCATCCCAGTTCTCACCCACTTTCCCCACGGACCTCTGGTCTACATCTGCAGAGCCTGGACCAGATAACATGGTACACACATGCCTCTCTAGACCAAGGGTGTCCAATATTTTATTTTTTCTCTGCTACACATTGGAAGAATAAGAATTGACTCGGGCCACACACTGAATACACAAACCCTAACAAAAGCTGATTAGCCAACAAAAGGTCTGCGCATACTTTTCGGGATATCAGACACCACAGATAAGCAAAAAAAAAAAAAAAAAGTCCTCACAAAATCAGGTTGATCACCCATGCTATAGATGGTGCATTTTTTAAAGAGATCCCGGGACCATATTTCCACAACTTTCTTAGTGAAAAGGTGCCAAAGAGAACTCAGTAAAGATTGACGATTACATATTTAAATACCCTAAATCTGAGTTTACCCAATCTGAGAGAAATGGCTTTCATGCTTATATGGGTTGGCTAGGACCCACCGAAGCCTGGCTGAAACGGGTATGCCCAAGTACCTCGACATCTGCTCTAGATAGGAGTGGAGCTGCACACCGCCCCCACCCCAAAAGCCAGACCAAATCCTCTTCAAATACTGGCTCTCAACTGTTCTAAAAGTTTAAAAAGTTAAAGAATTAAATGCACACACATATTTTACTACATATACATTTAATTTATATTTTTAAGACTGAAATGAGAAGTAATTATACCATTTCAGAGAATGAAAGTCACAATAAACTCCCAGAAAAAGTGTATCTGCAAAAACCTTAGGATAAACCCACCTTACAGGGACATCCTGACGGAGATAGCCCACAATATAAAATTATTTCTATTTAATTCAACACTGCCAACATTTATCATACACCTATCATACGCCATATACTAGCCTAAGTGCTGGGAAAGAGCCAAATAATCTGCGTACCTGTCCCCGAGTCACTACCAAATGGAGTGATGGAGTGGGAGGAGAGGCAACCTGCATTTAGAAAGAGAATTTAAAATTTTCAAGTGGATGCAGCAAGTGTTTTCATATGTTGCAAAGTTAACTACATCTTTTTGTCTATTTGGAATAGAATTCAATTTACGAGTAATTCAATTTTCAGAAATACACCTACTGCACCAAAAAAGTCCCCGGGAGTATTCGCTGCTTAGTCCAGACGCACAGGATCTGACTCACTTGTTACGCCCAACAGAATACACTCAGCACGGGACAATCTTTTTCATTCTGGATGCATGATTTAACCATTAATTTCATTTCAGCACCTATCCTACTCCCAAGCTTAGAACAATAGAAATAAAAATTCACACACTGGTTTCCTTAAAACCCTACATTCAGACTTGCATCTTGTCTTCTAAAACAGAGCAGTTAAGTTCATAATAAATATGAGTTTTCTTAGTGTGGATTAACCCATCCACTAATTCTTGCTGAAGATAAATAAACATGGTCTCTGTTTGTTTCTTTTAATCAGAAAACTTTCAACCACAGAACAGAACTGTGTGTGTTCAGTAACAGTCTCTCTCTCCTTTTGCCTCTCTCCCTCTATTTCCCCCTCTCTCTTTCTCCCCCCTTCCCTCTAGGCTTCCCCTTCTTGGGACAATGAGAAATGAAGCTGTAAGGTGCTCCTACAGATCACCCATTTCCCTTTGTGTCCACTGTTAACAAGAGATACAATACATAGGAAATAGAGAGCCAAGACTTGCCTGAATCAAACAGTAACTTTTTTCTGTTTCTGTCTCGTTGTGACTCAAGGCAGAAATAATCTTTTCTTTCTAGATGATCTTGTTTCTCTCTGCCAGGAACCAAGGGCCACGTTATCTGGTTAGAGCCCGGCCTGCAGCTACCGTGCAGGTAACTCACTCATGTTGGACTATAACTCACCTAACTTGTTTGTGTCCCAGCCAAATGCCAACCAGAGTAAAAGTTCGGAGGTGGCCATAGGGCAGGTTTAATGATTAACACAAGCTACTTAGACTTTTTCCTCTGGGTCTTTTATTAATCACCAAAGAGAGAGTGTCTTACATTCTTCTCCACTGACTGCTTTATTCTAGACAAGAATTTTTAAGTAAAAGTCCACACAGTGAGACAGATGCATTGAAAGAATTGGCCAGTAAGTCGCTGACCAAACAGAGGACCTGGGAAAACGGCCCAGGAGAAAGGGCTGGTCCCCATACAAGAGCAGAATCCAGCTCTTCATCCAGAAAAGAGACTAATAAAAACCAAAATTTGAGCTAATGTTCCTATGCCCACTGTAGGCACATGGGCCTAAAGAAGCAAAGAAAGGAAGAAACTTGATCAATGTCTTCCTGAGAAAGTTTGACGAACCCTCTTCCTTTTTATACTTTCCCTCTTCACTCCTGGCCTTGCCTCCTTAACCAGGAGATAGTCCTTCACCCATACCCATCACCTTCCAGTAAGACCCAGACCAGGGGGTCTCAATTGTTGGTTTGACTGTCTCTTGATAAGGAATTAGGAACCCCCCCAGGATGATCAACCACCTTCTCAGCTGGTCCACATCTGACTCTGTCCCTGTCCCACTGCCCATTCCAATTGACACCATCTGCTTTCTGATCATGTCGGTCCAGGCCCTGTGGTACCTGACCAGAGGATGTGCTTGTCTTCTTTCCCCACCTTTCCCTTTGGGAGAGATGTCATTGTGATAGGATTTGATAGCCCTGAGTCTCCACCTCCAAGGACCATCAGTAGACCTGAGGAAGCATCTTTGGCAGAACCAGATTAAATCCCAGAAATGCAGCACAACTCTGATGAGAATAGTAAAACTATTCTCTAGAAAGTGCAGAAGTTTATATAGCAGCTTGGAAATCAGTGACAAGCCAAATGATTTTTGTAGCACTGAAGCCAGGGGAATAGGGAGAGGGTGCCTGGCTAGGTTGGTATAGGTAGGGAGTCAATGGCCTGGTCACCTGCCCACCTGCTGAATATAAGTTCCCACTCTGGACCCCTCCAGGGCAGGCCAACAAGCATCATTCAAACCATGTTTGCATATTTGGCACATGGGTAATGGGAAGGAGGGCACAGACCAGGTTCGGGAAAAATAGTCAACGTGACAGTAACCTTTTATCTTTATAAAAAACTTATATTCACAAATCACTTAGGTGATCCAAATTTGTTTAAAAGAATATAACAGATTCTGCCTACAAAGTGCTTGCCATCTGGCAGGGGAGCCAGACACATAATCAGACTATTTTAACTCTATTGTTATAGAGTCTCCTGATAAGACTCCTTCCTAAGACTAAAACATGTTTTCATTCCTTTCTATTCCTACAAGCTGTCTCCATAAATTAATCCCATCTATCCCGGGGTAAATAGCCTGTAACAGATATTTACAATTCTCTTTGGCAGCCTAGCTGTCAAGACCTCATCCTAAAAATCACACCGGCTTTCTTACAGAACATAGTCACCTCCCCACTGTTGACTAATTGTAATCATACCCAAGTCCTCTGCTGTGTTCTGTGTCCTAGGAACCTCCCAGTGTGCAGTCAGGGTCTGCTGTAAAAGAAGCAAGGTAGAGTGAGCCACGTCATGCCCAGGGCCTGAGAGAAGCTGCTAGAGAGCTTGACAGGTGCTCTACATCACGCAGGGATTGGAGAGCCTCAGCACCCCCTCTGTGAGCTCCATCATCCATCGCAGGGCCCCCAAATGTATGCCCACATTTGCTTTGCAAAAGCAACCTCCAGAGGAGCCCCTCCTTTCCATACAATCATACTCCAAAGCCCCTGTCACACAGAAATTCTGAATAATATCTTGAGCCCAAGACTCTGACCCAATAATGAGGACAAACTCTGCTTAGAAGGAAGACCGTGCCTGCTTCCCTGTGTCTGAAAGGAGGGTAGCTGTGCCCACCACAGACACTGACAGCACCCCCACGAGTACTTGTGAAACTCTCTCAGAAACTGTTGCTTAGGCCAGTGGAGGACACCCAGGAAAGTCAAGGAAGAAGGTTGGATCTTGGGCTCTTTTTTTCTCGAATCTCAACACTACTCAGAATTCCTGGAGAACTGTGTGGGGCCATGAGAACACAGCTTGCAGATCTCTGATTATAGGAACTATAACTGATTAAGGGCCTACCCACTCTATCCCAAAATTCATCACCACATTTACAACAAGGCCACACTTCTATAGGCTGCTCCCAGACCAGGTCTGGATGTAGCAAAGAAAATGAGGCAGATCCATCCAAAGGAGACACGGGACTACTCCAATGGTGATTGTGGCTTAAAGATGACCCGGTGAAATCGCTGACCTTTCCGTAGAGTATGAGGCAGTCTCCGATGCTTCCGTCCCTCTCTTCTTCACCTAAGGCCAGTCTGACAGCTCACTCAGCATTCTCCAAGTTCACCCCATTTACTTTTATAAGGACTAATAAAACCCTTGCCTGTTTCATCCTATCTTAGCATCTCCTTCTCAGAGGACCCAAACTGAT